GAGTCAGTGTGCTAAAATTTCTTCATTTTCCTTGTTAAGAATCAGAGGTGCTAGTTTCAAATCCTTTTTAGTCTGAAATCTGTATGCTAGATATTGAGTAAGGTGGTTTTATTGTTTTTTGTCACTTTGAATAATATTTCTGTTCATGTTAAAAACAAAATCAACTCTCTGTATAAATATATCAGGTGACCGTGAAAAGTTAAATTTTCTACCAACTAGGTTTTTTTTTACCAATATATAAAAATAAAAATTTCAAAGAAAATGATACGTCAGTTTTTGCATTTTTTTTCCTGAGGTTAAATAAACCTTACATTGTAAGTGAATTGTTTGGTGAAAGGACTTTATGGCATTATGGGTCATTTTGGGCCTCAGAAAAAGTAAACAATTCAACTTTAATTTATTTATGAATCATTTCTGTTATAAACATCATATTGGTTAATTGGGGCTATCTTTCTTGTTGCAGATTTTTATTCGTTATAGTGTAGATGCCCTACCATAGCAACTAAATTGCGTTGCTATGCAGAAATAGCCAAAATATGGTGTTTTTGGACAGTTGGTATGCCAAAAAAACACCTTCACACATGACAGTATGACAATGTTAACCGTTCACCCCTAGGTAACTTTAGTAGACTCTACCATGCATTGATTTGGATGAGTCCATTATGGTCTACAGGGGTGAAAGGTTTAAAGCATGTCAAATATCTATTTGTTTGTTGCATGTGGTGGCTTTCAAAAATTGAAGAGTACTGTTTAGTTAATTTCGTTCAAAACGGCTAAAATTTTCAACCAAATAGCGCATAACAGACGTTATTCACACATTTTATTATGAAAATGTGGGTTTATGCATCTCGTTGTTAATGCCATATCTCCTAAACAAGTTGTCAAAAGGAATTTGAAATTTCATATGTGCAATTACTTCATTTATTCCAGATTACGAATATAACAGCTGATTCAAAATCCCTGAAGAGGCGGAAAATGCCCTTTAATGCCCTTTAATGCCCTTAGTCCTTTATCATTTTGATAATAAGCAGAACAATTTTATATATTAATTTTATCTTCCAAATAAGTTCTCAGAAATCTGTGAATGTTTGCACAATTTATAAAAATAAAATTGTCTCCTAAATTTTGGAAGTAATAAATCTCCATATTACATAGTGATCTCAGGAAAATACTAGGTCATCCCTACCCCTTATTTTTAAATTAAGAAATCTTTTTTTTTTTTTTAACTGATTGATTTTTACTAAAAAAAATATTTCTTAACCTAAGTGTGTTTTGTCAGTTAAGAATTTTTATCTTTTGTAGGGGATCTCAATGATGTTCCATGTTCTGTATACACGAGCCAAAGTCTGATCTTTTTCATGATGATCCCACAACGTTCTAAACATTTTCAGTTTGGCTGTTTTGTTTGATCATGTATTCGACTGTGTTATGTGCTCTTTTCATTTTTAGGAGAATATTTTCACATATTTTTTACAATCTTCAAGGGGTGTCTTATATTTATAAACATGAATTAGGTTTTCACACGGCAATTGAGTAAAAAATTGTTGTTAAACAAAACCATTTACGTAGATGTTTTAGTAATGTGTGTTTTGTACCTACAGGTGTTTGGATGGTAGCTGACATGGCCATTCCTTGGTTCAAAACTGTCGTCCTATATGGTACAATTGAGTTCGACCATGGAACTGCAGCTCCGTACCGTAACATTGACCTCAACGCGACCCACGTCATCATCCTGGGAGGGAGGCTCATTATAGGTTGGCCCGACGACCCATTCCTTGGTGATGCACGTGTCATCCTTAGAGGCAACTCGTCAAGTGCGGAATACGACGGTCTCACTAACGCTGCCACCGTAGGGGCTAAGGCCATGGGTAAGTTAAAGCTGGTGTAAAGATATATATCCCTTTCAACCCTATGTAACTTTAATTATACCTCTACCATGTTTTGAAAATCACAACAGTTAATGTACAAAATGATTGTACTGCATATGGCAGCCGGTTTTGAGGCCTAAATTTAATGGGCAGTCCCCAGGTTAACTGGTTGCAGGGTTGTTTTTCTCCAGGCAACATATTGTTGTACTATGGGAGTCTCAGGCTGATAGGGCGTAAGAAATGGAATGGTCATACAACAACCTCTAAATGGATCACTTGAGTCTTAATTATTAACTGTACAAAGCGTTAATGTGTAGATTGTATCTTCTTCTAGGAGTTTTCGGTGGCCTTGATCTTCATGGCATTGATGGAGGTGTGACCTGGACCCGGCTAGCCTCATCAGCGTTTGCCGGAGACTCTCAAATCACATTAGCCCAAGCTGTTGACTGGGCAGTAGGCAGTGAGATTGTTGTAGCTCCGACAGGCTACGAACCACGGGAGGCAGAGACGTTCATGATTACCAGTGTGTCTACTGATAAACAAAGTCTGACCCTAAACAGTTCACTACAGTACAATCATGTTGGTACGTAGTCAGTGATGTTTTTTTTATGTATTTGTGATCCCATTTAGGACATGCACAATATTGTTTTCTACATTTATTATTTCGAGTGCTAGACCTAACTTCTCCTGCCCTCAACTTATTATGAGCACTAGACCTATTTTGTCAAGCGTACGGCTTAGACTTTACGTTTGAAACACTTCATGATGGTATTGCACAGTTATGTAATAGTGATAAATAAGTAAAACGCAAGGGAAGTTATGTCGAGGGCTGAAGATAAGGAGTCGAGTGATCAATATAATATGCTGAGTGCTCGAGATATTAATGTAGAAAATAAAATGATACATGCCTTGAATGTACCAACATACAATTCGGTTGAAATTCTTCTTTTCTCTTAACTGAGAATAATACTGGTATGTAAGGTGTGTGACAGTAATAATATTTTCTCCAAACTTTATCAAATTTTCAGCAAGTAATTTATGTAAGGGTCTTGCATCCAAACATATACAGAGTTATAGCCCTTTGTTCAGTTTTTTTACAAAAAAGTTTAGTTTCTGGTTTTATTGATTTATTAATAAAGTTTATCTTCAGGATAAATTCCTTTTTTATAAATTCATCTTTCAACAAAATTTTACCGATTATTTATCTTTGGATCCTTAAAGGGTTTAGTCCCTGTAAAATGTAAAAATCCCTCATGTGAGAAGATGAAATAGATGGTCTCACAGAATATCAGTTTATGGCTGAAAAGGAAAATCGTAAAACCATTCTTTTTAAAGATATTTGAATTTAGAAAATCATGTTTTTCTTACAAAAAAGTTTAATGTTAAAATTCCAGGTCTCATCACCATGACATATTGATACGAAATTCTCTTGGTTGTTTTCTACAGTTATACCAAAGGAGAACTTCTACCCAGATCTGGGAGCAGAGGTGGCACTTTTGACAAGAAATGTTAAGGTTATTGGGGAAAGCTATGCAAATTTGTACCAGGAGTCCTTTGGTGCCAGAATATTGGTTGGGATAGCCCAGGAAGACGAAAGCGTATTTATTGGTGAGTAACACAGTGTATCCCGACAAATTATTATATTCTGAATCAGCCATTATATACCATGCTAACATACACAGCCATATCTAACATACACAGCCATATCTAACATACACAGCCATCTAACATACACAGCCACATCTAACATACACAGCCATATCTAACATACACAGCCGTATCTAACATACACAGCCGTATCTAACATACACAGCCATATCTAACATACACAGCCACATCTAACATACACAGCCATATCTAACATACACAGCCGTATCTAACATACACAGCCGTATCTAACATACACAGCCATATCTAACATACACAGCCACATCTAACATACACAGCCATATCTAACATACACAGCCGTATCTAACATACACAGCCGTATCTAACATACACAGCCATATCTAACATACACAGCCACATCTAACATACACAGCCATATCTAACATACACAGCCGTATCTAACATACACAGCCGTATCTAACATACACAGCCATATCTAACATACACAGCCACATCTAACATACACAGCCATATCTAACATACACAGCCGTATCTAACATACACAGCCGTATCTAACATACACAGCCATATCTAACATACACAGCCACATCTAACATACACAGCCACATCTAACATACACAGCCGTATCTAACATACACAGCCGTATCTAACATACACAGCCATATCTAACATACACAGCCACATCTAACATACACAGCCATATCTAACATACACAGCCGTATCTAACATACACAGCCGTATCTAACATACACAGCCACATCTAACATACACAGCCATATCTAACATACACAGCCGTATCTAACATACACAGCCGTATCTAACATACACAGCCATATCTAACATACACAGCCACATCATTGACTGAACCAACTCCAAAGTGCACGAAAGGCAGTTCCTTCTGGATACATAACTATACTATAACTGTACATACAATTGCTGAGTATGGAGAGGTTAACACATATGTTACCAGGATACCCCCACCCCCTGAAGACTTTGTCCCTGGGGCATAACTTTAAAATGTCTGAGATTCCAACCTATTACAATTATACATTGCTGGGCATGAAGTGACAAACACGGTCATAATATCAGAATTGACCTGGGTTCTGGTCACACCCTTAGTGACTTAGATTCTGGTTCACAACTAGGAAAGAGTTGAGATCCCCACCTTATAACTATATATACAATTGTTGAGTGTAAATACACATATGCTACCAGGATGGCCCTGGGATCTGATCCCATCCTTGGGGAGTTTCTGGGTCAAAACTTGCAAACAGTTGAGATCCAAACCATATAAATCAACCATATCATACAATTGCTACACATGGAAAGACATTTATGCTACCAGGATTGGCCAATAAGGACTTAGTAATCTTTTAAAAACTTCTTCTGAATAACCTAAAGGATAAGGGTAGTGACTTTTGGCCATAGGGGTCATGTTAATAAAATTCATTGATTTTTTCTGCATAACCAAAAGACCATGTGTCGTGATATTTGGCATGTAGCATGATAGAATGAATTGCTATTGATTTTTGTTTAAATATATGACCTTGACCAATATTCAAGGTCACAGAGGCAAAATGTGTTAAACTATTAAGCTATTCAATCATCTAAATAACAAAGGTATTTAGGGTCATGATATTTGGTATCTTTGGAAAGTGTTTTTATAAAGTGTGGGATCTGAATGAACGACATGGATCAATTTTGATGGTCATGATCATATAATAAGATAAAATCTTCGAACAAAAATTCATATAAAGTGTAGAGTCCCAGTTATTCAATTTCTTATATAATTAATATAAGTTGAAAAAACTTGTTTCATAATTGCTGTGAAATTAATGAAGTTTCTATTTTTTTATGATAAAATTGTCCAGCATAGACTCTAAATGTATAGAGTAATAACATTTTGACTATTTAACTCATTCACCCCTGAAATTTCATATTGAACTATACCCATCTTTGAATTGGAAGAGTTAAAATGTGTCTTCAGGGGTGAAAAAGTTAAATGAATTTGTCTTGTACTCTCTTTGAAGGTCACAGTTTCAGATGAATACAAGCTGAGCTAAACAAGCCCATTTTGCCTCTTGTTTTTTCAGGATTTGCCCGTATTACGAACACAGAGTTTTACCACACTGGACAGGAAGGATGGACGGAATCTTACGACGCACGCTATTCTATCGCATTCTTGGATGCTGGCGCTGTAAATGATATCAAACCTTCCATAATTGAGAAGAATGCATTCCATGATGGATTTTCGCCAGCCATTGGCGTCTTTGGAACCCATAGTTTGGCCATTCGGCAAAATGTTATACATCACACAATTACTAGAAGTAAGAATCGTATATCAGTATGGTTTGTTTTAAAAGTTAGTTTACGTTAAGCAAGGGTTGATTTCCAAAAAAAAACAACGGTAACAATGATCCCAGATCTATTATTAAAAATATAAGTATGTGTCAATTTTTCTGTCAGAGAGAGGAAGTTTATCTGACACGTTGTCTGAGTTATAGTAGTTATAGTAGTTATAGTAGTAGTTATAGTAGTTATAGTAGTTATTAGTCTTCTCGTGAAGAGAATCTTTATTGATCCTGTATCAGTAAATAAACTTAACTTGTGTCTGAAGGAGTCTTTAAATTATCACCAACCGATGATAAATTTTGTAAAATCTGTCAAGGGTGTAATGTTTGATGCAAATGTCAAACAGTGTGTTCCATTATATAAGAGTTATTGCCCTTTGTTCACCATGTTTCTTTACCCAGGGTATGTTCTATATAGGTACCTGTTGAACTTACAAGTTAACTCTCCGGGTCTGAGTGCGAGTCACCTGATCTCAGCCCATTATTTTCAAAAACATTATTTGCACTACTCCTTCTTATGTACTGCACCGATTTCAATGCTACTTGGTACATTAAGAACCCTTACAGATAAACATTATGGAGTTATGTCCCTTTTGTTGAAAATGTTTGAAAGATTTCTAGTCCACATGAACACATACACTCTTATATTTAAAGGCTGTGTAAAAAGTCGAGTTATACCTCTGGATTTTATAGAGAATATAGATCTATATTTATCTTTTATATAGTTGAAAATCATTGTTTGACTACTCCTAAGGTAGAATGCACTGATTGAATGTTACTTTAATTGGTACAGTCATTACACTTACATTGAGGGGATAAAAAGCATATAAATAGGTGTTATCTCCCCTTATTAAGGAGTTATGCCCCTTCGTTTATAGAAATTGATTTTGATTCTCCGAGAGTATGACAGTTTAAATAGCCTTACATCAACGGGATGTAAATAAAGTATTGAATTGGAGTTACTTCCCCTATTTATGATATTATATCCTTTGTTTAAAAATTGTTTTGGAAAGAACAGTTCTTTGCATGGTTGGGGATATATAAGTCTTCTGTTCCAGTGGAACTTTCAGTTCAAAATTGTACTGTTTAAGATGCAAGAAGATATTCTTCTGATACAATTTACATTTTCTCATTATCAAGTTTGTTTCATTGATAATTGATTAATTCTGTTGTCGTTTTAGGTATCGAAACATCATCTGACAACACTAACATTGAGTCCAACCTGTTAATTCTTATGCTGTCAGAAGCTACTTATCAAAACCGCTACGAAACAGAAAATATTCGTCTGAGTGCAGCAATTGAAGCTCAAAATTCAAAGAACTCTCAAATACGCAATAACGTAGTAGCAGGGTCAGAAAGGGCAAGCTTTTGGTTAAATGCAATGGAGTGCAACAGTGCAGGCCACGGAAGCAACCTGGCACACAGCTCAATTATGGGGTTCGTGATATACCCGCAAATAACAACGTCTGCCACCTGCCTTCGAATGTCCAACTTCACTGCTTGGAAAAATCTTGTTGGAATCTACTATCAGAACACTGCTAGTTTAGAACTTTGGAATAATTTTCTCGTAGAGAACAGAATTGGGGCTGCCATGTTTGTTATGGGTCCGTCAGCCGTTGACCACCAAGCTACCAACAAATCGGTCACGGTCAAAAATACAACGCTAGTCGGTGCTTCATCGTCTTATGACTGTGCCACGGATAAATGGATTATGAATGAAGCCATGCGAGTACACAGCCAGGCACTTCCCTGGAACAAAGACGGAACCAACATTGGTATTTTTGGTGCACAGTACTCTCAATCCACCAACGGCATGTCAATGTTTCCTTACTTTGGAACCATGTCCTACCCTTCCATATATGGAATCACAATTCTTGAGAGTAAGCGTTGAATTTCTTTATGGTGATACTGTATGCCGAGAAATTTTACCCGGTCAAACTTTGGCCCTTTACCCATGAAATCATTTTTTGCCTAGTGTTAATTTTGTCTTTAACATTTAGCTAGTATGTATATCACATGTATGTTCTTTACATATTTTCACTGTTATGATCAATTTGCCCTCATTACAATGGGCAAAATTGGTGAAACTTTCCGTTTAACAGTAAATAGGAATATTTTTCTTTACTCTTTATAGTAATTGACAACAATCCCAGAATGTTTGAAAAATATTTTAAGACATTTTTTAATGCAGTTACCAGGTAACCTAATTTAAAATTTCTGCTTTAGGAAAAATTGAAGATTAAAATAAGGGTTATAAGTTTAATGCAATACAATTGTACCAGTTGGTTCTCTGCAAGCCCCATGAGAGAATTAGTCTTACTGTAACCTGAAAATGGTTGAGATAATCCCCACTCTGTAACTATGATATATTAACTGGTCTTCTTTTAATACAAAAGCTTCCCAACTATGCATTAAAACTTTTTTTTGCTCAAAAAAATCAAGATTAGAGCAATAAATTACTTCTGGAAAGCAAATCATACCTCGCAGGAATTTTATGAAAAAAATAAAATAAAGATGAATTATATCCAAATTATTATGAACAGCAGTTTTGTGAGCGTAAAAGTACTGCTCAGGGCAAATACAGGATTCAAAATCAGGATTTAAAATTGTTGTACTTTTGATCTAACTGACTGTCAGCTACCATAAGTCAACGGAAGTGTCCTGGCAAAACTGCTTTAGTTTTATTAAAAACAAAATTAAGTGGCTGTTAGTGTTGTGGCAGGTTTTAATTGTACATAGGATTAAGATCGCCTTCTAGCTTCAAGCTACAGGGAACTTCCCTTTAGCTCAGTGGAAGAGCGTCCGACTAGGAACCTGGAGATCGAGGGTTTGATCCCTGGTGGAAGCACACTATTCTCTTTCCTGTTACAAATGGTGTCCGTGGCCCTCCCTGTGATGACAGGGAGTTAGAACCTGGGTTGTGGTGTTCGAGGGCGAACACATTTAAAAAGGGGGGAGTAGTGTGGAAGGTTCTAAATGAACATATGATTATGGTCGCCTTTTAGCTTCGAGCTAGAGGAAAATTCCCTTTAGCTCAGTGGTAGAGTGTCCGTCTAGGAACCTGGAGATTGAGGGTTCGATCCCCGGTGGAAGCACATTTTTCTCTTTCCTTGTACATTGTTTACACGGAAAATCACAGTGCAGTGAGACACTTGGGATCTTTATTCAGTGCATTTACTGTAACAGTGGAATTTAAATTTATTTTCCATACCCTTTTAACCCTTTCACCCCTAGGTAACTTTAGTAGACTCTACCCTACATGTTTCTTGGTGAGTCCATTTTGGTCTACAGTGGTGAGAGAGTTCAGGCTCTTTTAGGTATTATTGTAATTTTTTTGATAGATTTACCAAATCATTCTCTGTATCAATTTTTGTTTCTCCTGTAGATGTAACATTTGCCAATTTTGGCCAAATGTGTGGTAAAGAAAACTATGCGATCACAAGCAGTGCTGAGGGAGACGATGGCCAACATCCTGTACAGTCCAGTAATGTCATTCTGAAAAATGTACAGGAAGGCAACAAATTATTTTTCTACCGACCAAATGTTAGGTGAGGGTTTCATAGTGATCAGTTTACTTTTTCCAATTCTGATTATCGATTACAGATTTCATTATCGATTTAATCCATTCATCATTGAAATCAAATGCGCGTATTTATCGTATAGTATGCATTGAAAGTAATTTCTTCTTAAATTTTTTACTATTTGATTGACAAAACCACATACTGGTTGCTTGAAATCCATTTATCATAAAAGAACGAAACCTAATGTATAGTTTACAACTCTGTCTATTGATGTGACAGTAGCATTCTCAATTTATCTAGGTATTCTGTCCTTTAAAATTACAAACTGACTATGCAAAGGATCATCAGTTGCTCTATGTTTGATTACAAACCTTTTATTGAATGCGGTTTTAAAACTATACTTTGATTATTGTAGGAAAATCAACGGTGCTGACTGTGGAGATATGGACTGCGACGGCATGAAGGCGAACATCTTTTGCGATACAGATGGGACATTTTTCGGAGAAAAGGGTTGTGCAGTTTCCGAGTCTGAGTGGGAATGGGATGGTGATGCACGAAGGGGCCTAGGGGATTACAGGATCCCAAAAGCGATTTTAAACACGGCAGATGGGACTCGAATACCTGTGGACCAGTTAGCACCACATAAAGGTAGGCAAATTACACAATTCGACAAGGGGAGATAACTCCTACCACCGAGGGAAGGAAACTCTTTCTGCAAAACAAAGGGGAGTTACTCCACATGTTTCATCAAATGTCAGTTTTAAGTTTAAAATTAATTATACTGTAAGGTAAAATATGATAATACCCCTAGCTAGCAATAAAAATATGTTTAAATCAGGCGTCCAATTCATTGCTGTCAAACCTCCCTCATTAAGAGGGGGACCCCCTCATTTTAACTAAAAATTACCTATCCCCTCGATATTCCCTCATTCAAATCCAGACTCACACAAACTCAAAATCTACATCCTGTTGCTCCTAGTTTATGCAAGGTGTGTGTAATGATCTTAACAGGTGTGTCTGAATCAAACGAATGCTTTTTTGATTTATTTTGATGCATAAAAAGGGAAAGATAAATTGAGAAAAGCAGTTTTAGTCACTTTTCATGCACTTTTTCCTTCATTGGAAAATTGAAACGAGGGAAATCTCCCTCATTGGAGGTTTCTAGAGGTTGACACCTATACCTATCCTCCAGTTACTCCCACATGTTGCGCCAAATGTTCATCTAAGATTAAAAATAATTTTACTCTAAGGTAAAACGTAATCATACCCCTATCAATAGCTTGAATCACTGGTGTCGATTTCCTCAGAATTACCTTTAATTAACATTTTGATCAGCCCTTTAAGTCACATCTCTAGTAAACCGTGTCTAATATCAACACAGGTATCATCCGCAGCGACACCACAGTGTACAAATCTGCCTGGCATGCTCACTTAAACTCTGACCTCAACTACAAGATGCTGATCATTGAAAGTATGGACGCGGACACGGAGACCCGCCGAGTGTCACCTGTTGCTATTCTCGGAGATGGGTATCTTAACCTTATCAACGGTCCCCAGGATCACGGCTGGTGCAGTGGCTACACCTGTCGGGAACGACTTTCAACCTTCATGGCTGTTGTCGCAACTGGTAATACTGTAGATCCACATTGTTTTATTACTGTAAATGGAAAAACTGCGTGGTGTGGACATTTTTGCAGTTCTTGCATCGAGTAAACTAGCGCAAAAATAGTAACACACAAATGTGAACTTATAGATTATATATAAATAAGGTAAAAAGATATAGATTCTAGATCTATTGCCATCACAGAAACCTCCACACAGCAATCAGTTTAACTCATTCACCCCTGAAGACACATTCAAACTCTTCCAATTCATAGGTTGGAATAGTTCATAATGAAATTTCAGGGGTGAACGAGTTAAAAGGTTTCACTGTGAACATTTCCAGATGTCAACATTCAACATTTATATTATATCGAGTTTCGTTATCATACTTTCAGTACTATGAAGTCTTATTTTATCATCTAAATGAATTATATAAAAGACATACAGTATTTTGTACAGATTTGTGATATATTTTTATTGCATAGCTATATATCGTTTTGAACCCCTGAACATGTATTTTGAAGTTTTCATTTCAAAAAATTATTAAAATATTCAGCTAAGGTTCTCAATTTAACTCATTCACCCCTAAAATTTCATAATGAACTATTCCAACCTTTGAATTGGAGGAGTTCAAATGTGTCTTTAGGAGTGAATGAGATAAGAAGGTCTGAACACTGTTACCTAATATAAGATACATTTGAGCTGCCTCCCTGAAACTTTTCACGGATATTTTCCTCAGTTATTTCAGTTGTGTAACCTACATGTATGAACAGATTCAATGATAATGTTTCTTTTTCACCCTCGTGGTTTTCAAATTTGGCAAAACCCTCGGCAAAGCCTTCCCCCCTCTTCTATCCCTTCACTCAATACTTTATCCTTTCTTCTCATTTTCACTCCTTTTCTTCATCTGCATGATAACCGAACTACTCTGTAGTGAAGCGGACGTAAAACCTATCAATCAATCAATCAATCATGCACAATCCTTCTGCTTAAAAAAGAATGCAATGTAATAACATGTAAATTTGGCTTATCTTCATAGGGAAGGAATTTGTAGTGGTCTTCACTGGTACCACACCTCAACATCTACGGTTTTTCCTCCTCAACTGTGACGAGACACACGCCATCAAGGTTGCAGTCTGGTACTCCCAGCCGTACGAAATGGAAGTCTCTGTTGACAGTTCAGTCATTTCACCTAAAAACGCAAGAACTGATGATGACGGCAACTACTTACTGGAAAAACCGAGTTTTCCTGGGGAGTACACTCCGACCGTGTCCGACACATCTGGGCAGAATTATTTTGACCGCAACTCAAAACGTCTCTATGTGACCATTAGGGGACCAAAAACAGTTGAACTGAAGACGAAGCCTTCAATCTATGTCTCCTGCAACATCCCACCCATGACTGAAGACGAATTCTTTGGTTCGAAAGCCCCAGAGTACCTAGCAGCCTTCTTCGATATCCCTCCAGAAAAGATTCGAAAAATGAATGTAATAAGTGAGAGTCAATCTAAAAGACGACGCAAGAGGTCAACAGTAAGCTATGACGTGATGGTCCTGGAGATTTCTGACGTTCCAAATTCAAGTATGCTTTGAGTTAGACGACTTAATGAATAATTCTGGTGACTTATGAAATTATTCTGGTAACATATTGAATTATTTTGGTGACATATTGAATTATTTGATTGACTTATTGAGTTATTCAGGTGACTTGTTGAATTATCTCGGTCACTTATTGAATTATTCATATGACGAATGATGAATTACTCAGATGAGTTATTTCATATTTTGTGATAAGTCAGATAAATGTGACAATTTTGTTATTGTTATAATTCGTTGAATAATACTAGAACGATACTCAACAGAATATCATGTGAATCTACAGATAATGACTATCACTCAACCGTCACCTTATACTACTGGTACATACTTAAGTAGTAACTTGAAACTTTAACGTTCTTTTAAAAATATTAGACTAATTATGATTACACCGATTGAATTAATTAGGAATGCACCATTGTCTCAATGTGCTAATAAGTTAAAATTGTATTTATAAGATGATGATCTTTGACTGCACTGAAACAAGTTTGTTTACTTTATCATTTAGACCTTAAGATATTTGTTGATCTTGCCCTTAAACAGACTCGACCGCCTTGAGTGCAGAACAGCTAGAGAATATGGTGGATAAGATTACCAACGAGATTCAGCTGGGAAACATCAGCCAGGTTCTCAACATGACTGTGAATGGGGTGTCTGTCGCGGGACCTCCTCCGTCCCCCGGGTCCCCAGAGTGGAATTCAACCACGGTTGATGACTCGCCCTATACTGTCATCGTAGAGGCCGCGGGAATGCGCTTCAACCCTGCACCGGAACCACAACACGAAGGGGTGGTCTTCAAGACGCAGCCAAAGATACAGGTTTTGGATCCACAGGTTAGCTCTAGTTAGGGTCCCACATTAGAAAAAATTTAACCCTTTCACACCTTTGTAACTTTAGTAAACTCCACCACACATATATCTGGGTGAGTCCATTATGGTCTACAGTGGTGAAAGGGGTCTAAGGGTGAACTGAAATGAAAATTCTTGGGATCTGGGAATAAGATATTGTATAAAATTAATGAAATATGTTTGTAGTATAAACCATTCAACAGGTTCTCAATTACAGCAGATTCTGCAACTTATTAGATTTTGGTGGTCATCAGTAAACATTAGCAGGTCAAAGTTTACATTAACAATTTTCATGTGTTTGACAAATTTAGTTTGTATTTATTTACACCATAGCATACTTGTCTACCATCCCTATTTAGGAGGGCGGAGACTCCCGATTTTGGACCCTAAAATTTAGTATTTTCAGCCAGTGAATTTGCTAACTTTTTGATATATTCTAAGACCTAATTATTTCATCTGATAGAACAATTAACTAGTTATAATTTTAAAGGGTTATTTTTGTTTTTAGGACATGTTTTTTAACATGCAGAATCTCCCTCATATGCCATAGTATGGTAACGTCAAATTCTACACCTTATTTGATTTTGGTGGTCATCGGTCAAAGACAAAGGGTCAAAGTTCACACTACTTTGCTGGGATGGATGATATATTTATGTGAATCTCTGCTCCCTTTGTTTGTGTTTTATTGATATTTAACCCTTCCCCACTATGTAACTTTAGTAGACTCTATCATACATTGATATGGATGAGTCCATTATGGTCTACAGTGGTGAAAGGGTTCAATCTTCCCAGATATTGCATTTCAATCTGAATAAAAAATACAAGACTATTTATGTTTTGAGTATTACTTTCAGTGTATAGATTGAAATTTTGTTATTTCTATTCTTGTACAGGGAAGACCAATCACACAGCTAGGGAGTGCCTCCCAACCATGGGAGATAACTGCGTCACTACGCCCTGGAGGGTCCAACCCACTCGCCACCCTCACTGGAAATCTCACCGTTCAGTTTGTCAATGGCTGGGCCAACTTCACCAGCCTGCTCATCACCAAGCTTGGTACTGAGTTCCATATCGACTTCAATCTGACAGTCCCAACCGGCTCCAACTTTTCCATCACCTCTGGGCCACTGACTGTCGCTGCTCGACCAATCAAAGCCTCTGTTACATCCATGACCTCTACTGTTATTGAAAACCACTACTTCGCCGTGGGTGTTGAGCTCCAGGACAACGCTACATCAGAGCGTATACCAGACATTGCCTGGAGAGTAAGCTGTACTTTATTAATGTTCAATCTACAGGAGAAACTTTTTATTTGATATTGTACTATTTACGTCATATTTAGTAAGCTGTACTTTATTTATGTTCAATCTACAGTAAAAACTTTTTATTTGATATTGTACTCTTTACGTCATACAGAAAAAACACATTTTAGTAAGCTTGCAAAATATTTTTTAAATTCTATTATGGGCGGATTGGTCTAATGGTTAACACTGGCCTTCACCGCAGGCGGTCGGGGCTCGATCCCTGAAGTCATCGTACGCATGGATATTCAGATAAAATGTTTTTCTCCTGCCCACACAACTCCAACAACCCAGGTGGAGTATAAGTTTATCTAGGGTGGATGTTGCTGTATCTGTGCTGTAGCATTCAAGTGAGGTGGCACTAAAAATGATGCCATTGGAAGCACTGTCTCACTATAAACAGAAGGGATGTCACGGTTCATGATTTTTTTCAGTTCAGTTCAGTTATCTTTTTTTTTTAGGTTTTCGGTTTCTTCGGTTCGGTTCAGGCAAATTTGTATTGTATGCATTGTTCATTGTATACATGAACTAAAAAAGAACAATTGAACACTTAAATATCTTTTAATATGTTAACAAAATAAAACAATAAAAAAAACTCAAACAAAATAACCCTCGTTACAAGGTTTTGAGTGTGAAGTTTTAAAGTTTAAAAAGTCTCAACCACTGTTCGACGACTTGAACCTGATTCCAAAAAATCGAAAGAATCCCACACTGCAGATTTTAGTTTGGCTGCCAATCCTGACATATTCCTAAACAATCCTAAACAATGCAGTCATGATTGCGTATATCGCAACTACAGAGTAAGTAGGTAAAGGCGTGTATCGTTTGAGATAAAACACAAACAACACGAACCTTTTGTTGCATTGCTGACGACTACGACCGAAATGGCGAACCGATCCGAACCGCGAGCCCATGAACCGCGGTGAACCCTACTTTTGGTTAAGGTTTAGGGTTAGGTACATTAAGTAACCCTAACTGTACTTCAATTTAATGTTTGTTTTTGAACTGATAATATTTTTATCAGTTATACAGGTTTATAGACAGGTTACTAGAATAATAAAACTTGTGTTACCAGTCTAGGTTTCTTGATATTGAAAAGACAAGCTTTGCCAAAGCCTGTTACATCCCCCTACCCCCTAGTTTCTAACAAGTCTATACAATGGCAGGCAGGTCTCGTTCATATTATCGCACTAGAACCGCAAAATAAAAAGGTCAGCTAAGCTATTAGCCAATGAAATAGTTCAATTCTTCCTTGCACTATGACAATAAGATGGTGCTTCAGGGTTTTTTATCCAGAAAGCCAACTGATTGTGTACATCCCTCACCCCGAAACGTTTTGATATTCTGCCTATTAAGCACTACCAATGCCTCCCCCTCCTCCATTTTTTCAGCCTCCGAGAAAACACTGCTGTAGATAACATAATTATATATTGTGAAACATTCTTTATAAAAATCATGTCATTAGAAAACCTGTTTACTGTACTCAATCTAATACATGTTTTGCACCTAGCAATTTGAAAAATATTGAATGATTCAAGAACCTTCCAAAGATTCTCTAAAAATAGCCATAATGGACACTTGTTTTTCCTGATATGTTGGTCACTTATGGTAAACAGTTCGGGTTCTAGGAAAAGAAATAAGATGGAGGTGTCTTTATTATGGACAGAGGGGTTCTTATTACGTAAAATATATGTAACTCGATTTTTAATGAACTTAAATTATTACAGGGTCTTGCTTGGACAATGACAGCAGAACTAAACATGCCTGAACTCAACCCTGGGTCGATGCTTGGACCTAGCGAGACGCTATTCTCGACATCCTCCAGTACAGCCAATTTTTATTCACTGAACTTCACGTCCCTGGGGATATATGCTGTAAAACTGCATGTCTACACGACACCGTCTGCCTACGACTTCTACGAAGAGGTCCAGGTGATAGTGAGGTCACAGGACCAGACCAGCCTCGTCATCGAGAAGACCTCGCTGCTGGAGATGAGATTTGATGCTGATTTCGATACAGTGGTTGGTGCTAACACCAAACCATTTGCTTCCATGATGGCGTCTCGTTTCATTAAAAAATACCTGAATGTGCTTTTTGACTATGTGTCTGTCGAGCCAGGTAAGATCACAGCTTAAATCAAATATAACAACCACGTGTCTGTGAAGTTCTTATCACATCATATTAACATTATCACTGCAAGTTCCTCCACAGGCTTTACAATTTGATCAGCATCATTTTAAAGCTTCTCCTCCTGAGGCTCCTCCTATAACTTATAACATACACAAATTAACCGTTGGAAGCAAACATTTTGGTGATGTTAGGCTGTTCCTGTAATCTCTATTGCACTGATCAAAACAGACACTTCAATATATAAAATTAAGGGAATACCTGTATTTAGGTCAATAATAACTGAAAAAATAGAGAATGTAAAGAAAAGCATTGGACTGCATTTTTTTTAATGTTCATGCTGATTTGAACACAAATCGGTTACATACATATTTACCATGAAGCCCTAGAGGGTTTCATAAAATATGTATGTAACCAATTTGCAATCATTCCAGCATGAAATTGAAAAGATTTCGTTCAATTCTAATATCTCACAAGAAACTTTAATATTTCATACAGTAATTCTGATGAGCAAATTTTAGATGGAAATCTACATTTTTCTTCTGTAATTTTCCAAATACACGTTCATCTCACTGCAAAATATCAACACTTTTTTGTAATGATATAATCATTTGATTTGTACATCTGTATTTTACTGTATAATGAGAATTTCTTTTCCCCATTTTTTTTTTTTTTGCCCACTTTTATGATTGTAAATATATCATGACAGTGAAAATAAGTACCAGGTGATATACTCAATCATAATGTGTGGAGGGCAAAATCAGCAATGCACGAAAAGGAATTCTGTCAATGAAGGGCAAAATTTGACTGGCCGAAAATTCCTCAGTATACATTATTGTAAACAGCAGTACTGCAATTTACATCACCATCATATGTATAAAAACAAATCATGTTTATGACATAATTTACATGTTTACATTGCATTATATCATCAAAACATGTGTATTACATCATCAAAACATGTGTATAACATATCAAAACATTTGTCTTACATCAACAATTCATCAGTATTACATCATCAACAAGTGTGTATAAACACATATGATGTTTATGACATAATTTACATAGGTGTGTACATCAATACTTGTGTTGTTTGATTACAGGAAGTATTGTGGTGAAATTCTCTATCAGCGGAGGGGTGTCAAATTTAAACACGACTGTCCATGGCATGTGCGAATCGGTCCAGAACGACTCGAGTTTCACCTTCAACTCCACGACGATTGCGCTGTCTGGTTACTTGACCGTGGATGGAGTGTCCTACTATGGTGTCCACTGTGGGCCTATTGTAAGTGTTATAGTGACGCCAAAATATCCCAAAGTAAAGGGTAGCATTACTGTCACTGTTGTCAAGTATTTGTTTAAGACTTTTTCACAAGAACTATTTCATAAAAAGCACATGTTGCCATGTATTTGACAGAAATATTGTTGTTGGAAAGTTGAATGTTTGAAATTAGACTTATAAAGGGAAATAAGAAAAGTGCAGAGGTTAAACTTTGGACCTTTAAACCAGATTCACCCCTTGAAGACATATTTGAACTCTTCCAATTCAAAGGTTAGAATAGTTCATTATGAAAATTTGAGGGTGAATGAGTTAAATCACAACACTTACAAATTTCCTATGTTACCATTCAGGAATCAAACAAGCGCAGCATCAAAGTGAGTGTCATGTTTGTAGGTCACAAAGCAAATGAAAAACTTGATAGGGGAAGTTACTCTAAACCAGAAAAATGCATCTTCTGTTTGCCTCATTTTCTATTTAGAATGGATTTGAATACTCCAAGCTGAAAAGAAAATTTGAGCAGAACTCTTCTTTGCGATTATAATTGATGCATCGGTACCCCTTAACCTTAACAGGGTCCTTGTGTATTTGAGCTAATTATTTATTATTTCTATACCACAGGCCAGCCCCGCCACTACCAAGCCCGAATCTGCCCACGACAAAACGTCTATGGCTCTGATTGTTTCCCTCGTTGTTGTTTCTGTCACTCTACTTGTCACAATCCTGGCGATCATCCTCTGGAAGTGCAAAGTGGCTCCAAAGACTAAAACAAGAGGTAAGAGTCTAATACTGACCAACAGTGTAGGTCAACCAGGAGAAAAGATTGGATGATAGTACTTGTATAGGACACACACATCAGTGATAAATGCAATATTGATTTTAGTTTTGCTAGATGATAAGAACAAAGGCTTATTTAAAAAACTTTTTTTTCTTTATTGAAATCACCTTTCAACCAAAGTTCCTTGTGTATGCTCAACTCATTCACCCCTGAAATTTCATAATGAACTATTCCAACCTTTTTACATGTATAAACTTTATTTATTTTACAACAACTATGAAACAAGTTATTTCAACTTATATTTGCCCGGATGTTAGCACGCGGGGGTCTTAGTGTGGGAGGAAACCGGAGTAACCGGAGAAAACCCACGTGGTCGGGCTGGTGACCCCAAACCTCTTCATGTCCGTTTCGGGAACCAACCTTTCAATTGGAAGAATTAAAATGTGTTTTCAGGAGTAAATAAGTTAAACAATTCTTGTTAGCACCATTCTTCAGGAAGTGCTGGAGTGATCTTTCTTTAATTTCACATGAAATTTCCTAATGGTCCCTAGTTTTGCATACCAAATTCTTGGCCTGATTAAAAAAAATAACGAAGATGGCGGATGGGCAGCCATCTTGCATTTAGAGTTTTAAGTTAGTTTAAGCGCTGTTTCTCAGAAAGTACTGGAGAGATCTTTCTTAAATTTCTGTTCCAGATCTGAAGGGGTTCTCTGGCTACTACAACCAACCGAACACCATTGAGGACATCCTGTTCCGTGAACAGTCCTTCATGAGTATCCGCGAGAAGTCAACCATTAGGCCGCAGGCTCCCGCTGCCACCAGCATCCACAGTATCGGCAACAACTTCAACTCGGAGAAGAGTCCTCTACCCTTCTAGTCGTCTAGGACAACAAGGATTATCTGCCCCTGAGTAGGGGAAACTAATAAAACTACTCTGGACAAGCAAATCTGTGATATTTTAGTGTGATTGATTGAAGTGGTGTATTCTTATAATAACCATATTGTGGTCGTAAAAATAGATGTGATGCCCTGAGTTTGTTTTCTGGAAAAAAATAATATTCCTGAGACACTTCTGCTGTCCAAGCATTTTCAGTTATATTGATGTTACTTCACTTACATTTACATCAACATGATAAATGATAATAATAACTTTTCATAAGCCTTCAGGTTCAAGGTGACTGTTGAAGGTCAAATATGTGTATTCTCTCTAACCAGCGTTTCCTCCTCAGACCTTACCCAGCTTGAAGCGACTGTAAGACACAGCAGGTACATACAGCTGTTTGACCTTGTCCTTGAACCAAGGTCCGTGCACGTCGTTACTTAAGGTCACAGGTCAAATATTAAAACTTTGTGGTACACATCTCAACCAAAATTTCCTCTAGCCCTAAATGGTACATAAACTATAAATTTGATATTAGATGCTATTTTTAGAGCCTTGTTTAAGGAAGTAGGAAAAGTAAGTCAGAAAAGGTTGACATCACTCTATGTTTAGATACACTTGGTTGTATATTTACTATCGCATTAACAAACAGCATGGCATACTATTAATTTTTACAAATATCATCCTTTTAATGAGACAATGACAGAAACAATATCTACTTTATAATAATTTGTATAACTTAACATACTCATTTTATTTTTTGTTCCAATTTTTTTATGAAATGAATATTCAACTTGTTAAGGATTACAGTGTTTAGAACCAAAAAAGCTTCTATGACAGAAATGAAACATAAAATGACCTCAAAATTAAAAGCTAAAATTTCAAAGAAAAAAATCCTTCATTGTGGATTAGATTGGGTAATACATTCTGTTTTCAATGAACTGTTCATACTCGGTTTTGGTTTAAAATTGATGCAATTACAATTCTCCGTCCACCCACACATCTTTTTATGTATACAGTTTTATTGTCATCTTTTTGATTTTATATGTATTTATTTATATATACAGTATTTATACCAATGTTTTGAGAAGGGTTTATTTGGTGAGGCAATTTATCGAGAATTTATCACAAAATTGTCTGTTTCTTCGCTTTTTGACTCCCCAAACCACTTACATAAGCGTAAATGGAGACAGTGATAGGAATGTCATCATAAGGGGAATAACTCAGTCAGGCTTGTGTATGACTACCGAATCCCGTCTGGATAAAGTAGTGATTAAATCAGATCGTGACATGACTGTACTAATGACAGAATAAGAAACCATTGGCTTAAATGTGGCTAACACTGATAATTTTGTTTGGTAGATTGATATAAAAACTTCTGTGATAGTATTATTTACTTTATAAAGAATATATACTCAAACTGTATGTTAATGACATGTGTTTTTACTGCAAGTAAAAATATGAAAGAAGTAAAACATAGATTTATACTGTAAATCATGCATCTTGCATCAACTTACTTTGAAGATGATTTTTGCAGGTGTTAACAAAAATTTAAGAATTATCTCCCTTAAAATCAATATAATTTATCAGAATTATCTCCCTTAAAATCAATATAATTTATCAGAATTATCTCCCATGAATGACATACTAAGGTCAAAATTATGATCTCTTATCAATAGATGTATTCTGACTACCTTTCAATTGTGTCATCTATGAATCAATAAATAAAAAAATGTTTTTACTGTAGCATAAATGATTTCTGATTCTGGAACTCGTAGATAGGTATCAGGTATTTCAAAAGTTTATTAGAATTGCAGTGATTTGCAGTAATATGTTTTGTACATTATTAGTTTGTAGTGTTTAAGATATATTTTTCTTCATATTTTTGTGTCAGACATAATTTTATTATATTTTATCTTGTTTTATATCTGTTCAAATTATGAGCTGGTTGTCTCAATTTTAAAATTTGTAATTGAAATTATTGTTTTTAGATTGATAGTATTCTAGAAGAAAAACTGTTAAAAATTAATGAATTTCTTTCCAGTAGTTAGTGACCTGTTACAAAAAAAATAATTTCGTATTGAATGATTTTAGAACAAAATACAGGGGACAAAAATCATTAAAAACTTTGATGATAAAAAGAAAATTTTGCATTACTACAACATGGTTACAAGCAAAAATATTTATAAGTTCATTAAGCCAAAAAACAGTACCAATGATTTAGAAAATTTTATTTATATCAAACTTTCTATTCAAATCTAAAATTTCATATATTTTTGCAATAACATAACCAAATTTGCACCTCATTTTTTGGAGCACCTGGTATCTGGTATTTTTTAAATGACAACTTTAACATCAAAACTGTTACAGATATTTTTGTTATATTTATGTGGGCTTTTTATGTTTATATATTTAATAAACACTTTGTTTTCAAGCATTATTTATATTGTTGATTGTTTTCTTCCTGTAACAAACTAATTATGTACCTACTGAGCAAACACACTTTACTTAAAACAAACCTGTCCAATAATTGCTGATCGCAGAGTATCAGTCCTTTATCAATAACAATGGGAGATATGTTTTAGGATGACCGGCAAAGAGGTGGCTCCTTTGAGAAAAAACATGGCTTTGCTCAACTACTTTCAAGGAGCCTGTCTATAAATGACAAGGCACAAGACTGTTTAATTTGATTACAAAAGGGTTTGCCTGTTTAATTCATTTGAGAAAAAGGTTTAAATAACTAACAAGGGGGCTTGTCGGTTGATTAATTGACAAAGGGTTGAGACCTATTCATGTAGGATAACTAAGGTTAAATCAACATTAGATGATTGGTTAACAGGAATGAAATTGCAAAGCGGTGGTTTACACCCTCTGGTAGGATTTCCCCCTTCCCTTTGAAATAAAAATAAATGTTCGTGAGTGAGTGATAGTCAAGGTCGTAGGGGTCAAATATGTTTAAAACTGACACAAAATATCACGGTATGTATTACCACGGACTTAGATAATCTAATTCCGTGGCATTACCATAGACATTCTGACAATGAGTAGTACGAAGTTTAAGAAAAGACATGATCTTTATCGCGATCTTTATTCCAAGGTCATAGGTGTCAGATTCGTAAAAACTCAAAAACAACAACTTTTCTTAAGAACTTGTCAAAAGAGATATCTGAATATGATGAGTGAATTGTCAAAACACAAGCTAACCTTGCACTCCATACCACAAAGTTGTTTAAATAAATACACTATCAACATCTGCAGGAAGAAAAAGGTCTGGAGTCATGATGTTAAGCCTGTAGTTTGTAGAAACAATTTTTAAAAGGGTTGGTGAAAAGACAGGCCACATAAAACCACGCCTTCATTCCCCTTGGACCTTTTTATGATATATATAGTTAATGATTAAAACATACAAAGCCTTTGCTGTGATGGAAATCTGAACAAAAGCCGTTTGTTAATTATTTTTTAATTTTTATCAATGATTTAAAGACGAGTTTGGTTATGGACCAAGGTTATTTAATTCTGGTTTGTAATATTGTAGACGCGTGCCAAAGTATAATTCGTTCAAGTTTTTTGTCGGTGTGCGTTCGTCATCTTATATCTCAAGCTGAAACAAATTGTATCGGTGACACACTCGTAGACACTGAAGTGTCTACTACCGCCCACTTGACCGCCACTGTCAGGGAGGGGTTACGCATAAAAGTCATGTTACAGGAGCTTGAACAAAATCCCTCAAACAGCACAAATACAAACACTCGATGTACGAGTATGTCGTTGAAATTCTCGTGTAATAGATAATATTTTTAAAAAATTAATTTTGGTTACTTTTTTCTAATATCACAAATCTAAAGAAAATATTTCATATTTCATAATGTTGTTGCTGCCTTCTTACCTTTTTTCGCCCAGATGAGACTGATTCGCCCAGATTAGATTAGACTGATTCGCCCAGATGAGACTGATTCGCCCAGATGAGACTGATTCGCCCAGATTAGACTGATTCGCCCAGATTAGACTGATTCGCCCAGATTAGATTAGATTGATTCGCCCAGATAAGACTGATTCGCCCAGATTAGATTAGACTGATTCGCCCAGATGAGACTGATTCGCCCAGATTAGACTGTTTCGCCCAGATTAGACTGATTCGCCCAGATTAGACTGATTCGCCCAGATGAGACTGATTCGCCCAGATTAGACTAATTCGTCCTGATGAGACTGATTCGCCCAGATCAGACTGATTCGCCCAGATTAGACTGATTCGCCCGTGCATTTTTCGGTACTACCGATTATATGAATTACAGTATTCGCTCCCTTCTGAATAAGGAAGAATGGGTAAAAATGAAACAGGCATTTTTTTTCGTTTGACAGTTATTCCAATTTATGTCAGAACTAATATTTTCATATAAAAGGTAAATATATATTCGTTGGACGCTAAGAAAATCTGTATCTATAAGTTCCACGAACATGAAATCAAGTGACGAGAATTGCTGAAAGGCCTCTGCTCATATTTTTATTTTTGATTTTTGTTGTTGTTAACATTGAAAACATTGACTAGATGTTTCTAAATATTCTTTCAAATCATAAACGTGTTTTTTTCATCGCCTGAACAAGACACTGACTTAGTTTTAGCAAAGAACCTGAGTTTAATCATGAAAACAGTTTCATGAATACGGGCACTTGTTTCGTTTCTAACATCGAAAAATGGACAAATGGTGTCTTCCTTCCAGTTCACGTCCTGGAGTCTTTTTCTTTGTACGCGGCTTCACTTTTACATCAGTGGTACTCATTCCATTGAGTGCTATTTTTGACGTATTCCACTGCCGGAGTCAGTAATAATTCATATAAAAACAATGCCGAAATATTAAAACATCGGATGTAATTGGGTGTGGTTACCATGGAAACGCTTCTGTGTGTGATGACAGCTGTAATTGTGGTAATCCAAAGGATAGCAGGTTAGTGTATGTTGGTATATTTCCTTATAAATCCCAATAATTGATAAACTTCCTTTCTTCTTTAAGTAAAGAGACCAAACACAAATACTTTTGATAGTATTATAAACATCAATTGGATTTATAACGAAATGTAGGTCAATATTACGATGTGGTTTCCTATGTTAAACAATTAAACTAGTGATCGTTTACTAAAGGAATTTATTATCGTTATCTATATATTAGTTGATTCTAAAACAAATATTTGGTGATAAAGAACCTTAGCTACCGCTACAAGGAGGAATAAAGGCACAATTATATCCTCGATTATCTTAAGTCTAACAAACAAATTTAAACCAGGGTGATGGCAAAGTGGGCAGGCTATGCTGACCTCATTTGGAAGTATATCCCCTTGTGAAGGTCGATTTCTCTGCTCAGTTGTCTGTGTTCGTTGTTGTGTCATCGTCACTGCCTCGTTAACGTTGCTGACTTTTACTACGTGACAACACTTGGATCCTTCTAAGTACCCATCTTTAAAGCATGATCGTATTCTCCTTGCACGTTTTTCAATTAGTTCCATGTTAATGTTTTTCTTTGTTTATATTCTACTCTTGTTTCACCATTTCTGAGTTCAAATGACGGTTTTGATTAACCTTCGGTAAGTAATTTGTTATGACAAAACAAATTAATGAATAATTAATCATTAATAGATGCCAATCACATGACTTCATCATGTCGTCGATCAAAACCAATAAAGCATAAAAAATGTCCCCAAAGACCTTAGACATACTATAAACTACTAAGAAAAAACAAAAGGAAAGACATTGTGGACCAGTACAAATACATTACAAATAATTGCGAACAGTAGTAGTTCCAATCTCTAGAGAAACTTACTTATTTAAAGTAAACAAAGGGCCGTAACTCTGTGAGACAAGAGTCAGGAGTCAAGCGCTAATCTCAGTTTGTGACCCTCCGCTAACCTAAGTATTCTCACAAACGAATTATTCGATTGTAGGTGATAAAGTGCATGAAATGAGCTACGAACAATAAGACAAATCACTGAACAAGGGGCCTTAACTCTGTATATTCTTAAATGTGTGTGTGACACGAGGACCGATTTTAGTACGCGGTATACTATCACCTCAAGAAGTACTCGTAAATAGCATTAGACATTTTGTAAGTGACATAGTATAAAAATTAACCCGAACAAAATGATACATTTTGATGTTACATATATATACATATACTTGTTAATGTATGTTTTAACTGTTTGTTGTAATTTGGAGTTATATTACAGGAGATAACCCGTTTACCTCCCCTGGTCTGATACTGATGGATTTTCAGACACCAACAGACACTACAGTTTTAAACACATTCGATATCCACATGGTAAGTATTAACTTTCATCTTTATCAGTTTATTTGATTTTTTTTCTTTTCGTTATTATAGTTTCTAACACTGATACGTGGATTTTTAAGTATATACCGAATAGTCATATAGATGTCTTAACTCATTCACCCCTAAAAGTTCATAATGAACTATTCCAACCTTTGAAGTGGGAACGTTCAAATGCGTCTTCAGGGGTGAATGAGTTAATGTACATCACAAACATTACACTGAGATCGTTCTATGACCAATGGCTTACGACAACTTTGTAACAATACTCCTGTTAATTTGTTTAGGGGTTATGCTGACGTTCTCTGCATCTCTGCACCCCCGGAATAAGTCATGACGAAATCAAATTATCTGCACGTGCCGTCTTATGGATGATACACGTGGATTAGTTTGATCCTTTAGTGTTCAAAACGAGAATTGCGAGGCAGCGTGACGATAAAATGACCAGTTTTGAAGTGGGTATCGTTCCTCTCTTATCTTCATAGTGCTACGACAGTTTTTTGGCAAATGAATGGACAATTTTTCACCTGAAACCGATCAAGTAGTTGACTGCGTGTTTTGAATTTTAACATGACACATTCCAGGGGTGCAGAGGACGTAAATAAGCGTAATCCCTGATTTTTCGAGGATATCAATTTGTATCAAGGCAAAACTTTTCGCCGACATTGCAAGTAATGGAATCATGTTAAGAAAGAATACGAAAACAGATCTTCAAGAAATGAGCGAGGTTGATTTTACTTCCTCATTTGATAATCCGACTCAGCTATACGACCAATGAAAGGTCTCGTAGGAGATCCCCTTTACTTCCATTGATATTGTATTCACTGATCAGAAAGCAACATTAACGTATTGTTTTATTGAAAACGTTTTTGGAAAATCATTATTTTATTGTTATTATTTCTAAAAAAAGTATTGTTTTATTGAAAATTTTCTGCTTACAATTATTGTTTTATAAAAAATGTTTTATTTAATTGATTTTTTTTCCGCAATAAGAAATATTCTATTGAAAATTTGCTGCAAACAGTATTGCTTTATTTAATTGTTTTTTTTAAGTATTATTCTATGATAAATGTTGAATTTAATTTTTATTACATTTGAACTTTTTGTTAAGGAGAGGAAGTCGTATTTGGCGTCGTATCTAGACCGGCAGTTCTCTTTATTATCGGTGTATCCCCTCGGCCAAGCCTGTGTTGTATTTGATAAACGTGCTAAAACCATTTGTGTAAGTATAACGTTTACTATGATATCAGATTACGGTACATCTAATACAAATTAGTAATAGGATTTGTGCATTGTTTCCACGCAACAAGTTAACTTATTCATATTTTTTCTGAGGCCAAGTTTGATGCTAAACAGAAGAAAAACACTTTTAACATCATAAACAGAACGATAAAATAATAGAAATAAATATATTTCAGTCTGAAACGTTGTAGGCCGATACGTGTTATGAAGATGGTGATGAAATTTTAAATTAAATTAACTTAACAGATTTGATAAATAAACAAAGCGCTATATTTTTTTTCTTCTGGTATCTTAAATGTTCTGTCCTTTTTCATACCAACCTTTTAATCATAAACAATGATATAAATGTCACGACATTTTTGTGTTTGTGTCAGATTATTATTACTGAATCTTTATAATACAAATGTTATTTAAGATTCCGATATTTTTAGAAAATGTTTAATACGTTTGCGTTAAGTTATCGTTAATCTAATCAAGGCTTGTATTCATCAAACTCGAGCCAGCATTCTTGTAACCTGCTAAAGTCATGTAACACGGTCATCACGTCAAGTGTAAACTTTGCAAACAGTATTCGGCTGTAAGTCTCTCCAAATTTCTTCCATATCATTGACAACAGGTGCTATTTATTAAACTATTTATCATGGAAACAGGATATTGGGCATGAAAACAGAATCTAAGTTTGAGCATAGGAATAGAGGGACTAGGTACATGTTTCACGAAAGTGCAGTTCAGAAACATCCCCAACCTGAACATTCTTAAACTTCAGATGACGTCATACATGATTTCTATTAGTATATTCCTTTCTTATCTATTCCTTTTACCATGTCAATAGGTATCTTTTAAATATAATTCATGATTATCCAACCTTTTTAGTTTTAAATTAAAGCACATTTGTAAAATTTAAATACTGATCATCTCAATTGCAGAAGTTACAATACAGTGGCGGTCATTGGTATCAACCTGTGTGTGCGGAGACCTTCGGTACTGTCAACGGTAGGTGTGAGCCTAGTAAAGACACCGAAAACATATAATCATCATATATAATTAAACAATGTCAATTGATGGTAACAAAAATAGAAAGCTCCGAGGGATGGACAAATATTTCGATAGTCTCCAATTGAAAAGCAACATTCATATTACAAAATGAAATTCCGTGTGACAGAAATTGTGTTGTTTTTTGTGAACTCTTGCACGAAAGTGATTTATATAAATAAGTTTAAAATCCTCTTTGTTGCACGACTTCACAAAAACACACAAATTCTGTCATTCGAGTTGTTTTTCTCGAGTCTTAATCGAACTATTTGTACAACTCTCGGAACACTCTACTTTTTACCATCAATTTACATTATTTGGAAACATCCTTAAAATGCTAATTGAATCAGATTAATTTCAATTAATCACACTGCTGAAATCGTGGTTAAATCTGAGAATGGAGTGGATCTCCCAGAAACTGGATTGATTTCAAGTATTGCTAATCTTTCACTATAATATTAACTGCATTCAACACTAATTTTCGTATTTTTTTACAAAGGGCCGGTTTCCAAAACGTTTTTTATGGCTCCTCAAAGTTGTACCTTTCAGAAGCTGTCTAAGTGTTGATAAAATGTGCATGTTATGTAAAATATTAATGAAAATCTAATCAAATGATGGTCACCGTAAAGAATACATTCATGGCATGATTGTGACAAAAAATCATGTTTCCATCGCGCCATTTGGCTGTTTTATGGAAGAAACAATCTCAAAAATGCCATTTTCGATGATAACATTTTAGACACAAAAACTGTGTTTTTTAGAGAATACACCCTTTTATGGGCGTTGGATGCAAACCAATTTTTATCCTATTAAACAGTACGTAATATGCTATTGATGAGAGGAAAAATCATCAAAATGTAAGTGGTGGAACATTTTCAAATGTTGGGTTGAATTAGCCTATGGTTGAATTGCCGATTTTCGACTTTCTTTAGATAATTAACAAAAAAACGAGAGTATTTGCTCGGTATGTTGAGAATATGTACACAGATATGAAAAAAAGTGAGAGAAACACTTTTTCATAAAAAAAATCCAAGATGGCTACTTCACAAGTCCCCGTGGTTGAAGACATTGGCTGACAAATAGACAGAACAACAAACAAAACGTGTTCCTTATGATTTTGGTTGGTTTTCGCATTTACGGGAGTGTTCATAGCTACGGGCGATTGTATAATACCTATATTTATAAGTTTGGTTAGTCACATGGTAACGGGGATCTTTCATATCGAGCCCCAAACATACTTTCGACATATGCACTCCGTTGCCGCATGGAAAACTATTTCAAGTTTTGTCGGAATTTCTTTACCTGTGGTTGTAATGGTCGAGGGTTTTCCAGCGTCCTGTAATACCCAAGGTAGTACAAGATACTGGAGATGTGCGCACACATTCCCATCGTTCTCTCTCCAACTGGGCACTGGCAGTAGTAGTCCTTTATTGGGGCCTCAACATCGGGTGAAACGGTGAACCGTATCCAAACGTTATATTTCGTTTGGCTTTTGTGTCGAGAATGTATTTGACATCGGAGAAGGTCTGGGGAGTGCTGGTAAAGCCACACCTCATAGTCTCCGTCATCACTTAAATGTTCGGCGATGTAACCAGGAGCCAGAGATATCTGATACGTTCCACACGTAATGGTTCTCAAGTAATCAAGATCGAGACGGGGAAACAGTACGGAAGATGCATCCATCTTGACAAACTCGGACCTTGCCCGTCTAGATAGATCCGGATCTGTCTTGACTCTCTGAGCTAAACCATTCGGTGTTGTCAAACGGTCCTTCATACGTTCAGCCATTAGCCTATCTTTGGCATCTCTCTCTGGAGATCTCTGGTAGATCGGTCCTCTAATACCATTCAGACAGGCTGTGACGGTTCGAAGCAAAGCCTCGATGACATTGATAAAGCTGTTAGACACCAATTGCGTTCGGAAGAACGTCCAGTGTTTCAGACGACCATGATAGGATTCCACAATCCACCTCGATTTGGTGATAGTTCTGTCAAGATTTGCTTGGACGTCAGAATGTTGACTTTGACCGGGTTTCAGGTATGACGGCATGCTAGCATTGAGGCCAGAGGCTTCGAGAACTGGTAGGACATCTCTAAAACCTCGGTCAACGACAACGTTGTCGTCTGGTTGTAGCCAAGTAACTAGCTTGTCCATGACTTTTTTTGTAATTGTAGCATCATTTTCGCTGCCAGTGAATGGTCCTACTGTGTCCAGAATGTAGCCATCTGGTAAGGCGATGCTCATGAATTTGAGATAGTTTCTCTTCTTCTGGCCACAGTAGGACATTCTCTGGAGCTTGTGGTCGGAGCTTTTCTGGATATAAATATAGGTGCCATCTAATATGGCAGTGGCTTTATCTCCAAAAAATGCTTCTGAAAAGACAGTATTGTGCCCGAGCAACTGTTCTCTTGTCAAGTGATCCGGACCTAGAAATTGTGGGACTATCGATGTGTCTAATGCCTGTACTATGGAGTGGAAAGTTTTGGACACACTTGACTTGGAAATTCCAAAAAGAGAAGAACACTGACTCCAGGAAATGTCGGTTTTCAGTTTTACCCAGAACAGTAATAGAGCATCGTGTGTAGTCTTGGTATATATACCAGATGAAAGATATGGGGAACAGTGCGAGTGGATTTCGAGGAACTGATCTTTGGACCAACCTGTCCAGGCCATGCATGCCGAGTCATCAAGAGAAGAAAAGCTTATTGTAAACGCAGACTGGTTCTGTGAAAGGACGTGCGACACCTCTAGGAGGTCATTAATGATTTCGGACGATTTTGATGGTAACTGAGATTCCAAGGAACCTCTACCATCAAGGACAACCTCTGTAGACGGATCTAAGTCGTTACCAATAAGGTGAATGGAGCAGACGCGGGATGAGGTGGGACACCACAGTTTGTGTGAATAGATCAGGTGATGTCTTGCACGTTTTGGTAAGACTGATGATTTTGTTCCATTTCTTGCAAAGGTAACAAGACAGAGACAGCATTTTTTGTGTGAAGATGATCCATTCAAAAGATCATGAAGGGTCAGCAACGGCAGGATATGGGACGGGGAGTCGTCTTCTTCCTCTATTTCCTGGTTCTGCTCGGGTTCAGGTTCAGGCTGATTTTTGTTCCGAAGATACTTCATGTAGCACTTCTGGCAAATAAGTGCTTGTTCCTTTGCTGACATCAATCCTTGTTGCACCAGCGTATCTAGGAGCCATTTATATTGTGGACTATTTACATTGCGTGCACTTCTGTTCTTATTGCCACTACGTTTCTTGAAGTATACTTGACACCCTTCTCCAACACATTTACCCTCCATCTTGAAACAATAACGATTGGTTTATGAAGCGTCGATAAAGTAACAAAATAGCAAGCCACCGATGATTGCTGTAAACAGCTAATACTTAGTAGTTTGGTACAATTATGCGAAAATGTGTGATAAATAACGAACAACTAATTACACAAAATAACAAGACAATATAATAAATCACATTCAATACCTCCAAGAAGCGCAGAATTGATTGATTACTTAGAACAAAATAAAGTATTTCATATGGATAATCTATCTATTCGATGTGGCGTGGTCGGCAGGCACAAAGAAAGTGAGACAAGTCAGGGTCCCAACCCTGACAGAGCCACAACGCTTTGGAGATGGGACAATAAAACAAGGAAAGTGAGACAAGAATAGCTAGCGTCGAGTCAATGATTCCGTAAACGTATAGACAAAGACAAGAAGATACGGATAAATGTACAAGGCCACACGATCAGAAAATTCAGAAGAGGACAACTTGAGATAGAACAGTATTCATGTATCAGGGTGTCCTCAGTGTAAATCTTTATATCGATACTGTTTATTTAGTCGTTACACATCATAAAACTGTCATGAAAATATCCGCTCTGATATTCAATATAAAAGTTTGTATATAATAAGCTATATAATAGGGTTTCAGACAAGGTTGTTACTCATTTCCCCTTTTCTTTCAATTTACAACCACATTCAGGCGGCGATATGAGAACGTTCCACCACATGGAATTAGCTGATTTTTGGTACACATATGAAACAAGTAAAGCTCTATCCGATTTTCTGATGGAAATTTGCATCCAAAACTATATAACGGGAGAAAATTGCAATTTTATGGCATTTTTCTTCATAATTGTGTCTCTGCAAGTGCATTTTCATCCGAGAATATTTTTTTTTTTGTTTTATGAATAAACACGATGTTTTGGAAATATTTATCAAAAGAAATTTATACTATGTTGCGAATTACAATTTCGAGATAACCTTCTTTTATTTACGAACTTATGTCTTTGATGCTGAAATTGACAACTTTATAAAAATACATTTTCACTGAAATTATGAAATCTGGGTGTCGGAAAGGTGTAAAATTATTCTTCGGAAAAGAAAAAAACAGTAGTTGAGCTAGATAAGAAATTATACGGGGGCAGGCTCCTATGGAGAATTAACATTACTGGAAACAGGCCCTTTCACTCAAAACAAACTTCTATGCTTTTATAAGCTTTGCAAATTTTTCATAAATTAGGGATTCTTTTGTACGGCAAACGTGTTAATAGAAATTGAACTTATGCATTTTAGTATGAAAATAAACGTGTTGGTAAAATTTATGCAAGGTGATTTCATTGATAATTTTTCCTATCATATTAAAAGAGTGCAGTTTTATCATTTAACAATAAAAGTGTCAAACCATCGATTTTTCTTAAATTCTTTACTTCTGCTTTCTGGTTTGCTGGAGAGAAACTTTACTGATTTAGAAAACAAATCCTTATTGAAATCCTAAATTTCAGTTCAAATTAATAGAAAAATAGATATTGAAATATGATTGGCATTTTGAGATATTTAGGTGTACGAACAAATAAAGCAAATAAGGTCGATATTTTCATCGAAAATCGCACTGTATTCTTACGTCCTCCCCCCCTGAAGGTGGGGGATCGGGGGGAAATACACATGCAGTTACCCACTGCATGTATCGTAGGAGGCGACTAATACGGGAACCCCCTGCAGAAATGGGAATTTCCTTTGGTGTCCTTTATTTGGGGACACAAAAGCGACCAAAATAAATATGCTGCACCTATTGCAATATTTGGGATCTGTTTTATCTTTCTTTCTAGATCTTACTACCTTTTATTTCCTATCGCCTTGCTTGGCAACACCGCGCTTTTGGCCTTAATGCTGAGCGTTCGCTGATGTGAGGAAGGCAATGGGTTCTGTCTCCAGGCTGGGACATACTAAAGTCCTTAAAAATGGTAGTTGTTATTCCCTGCTTAACGTTCAGCCTTTAGGGGAATGGCAACCACTGGTTCAGCCGTTGTCAGTATAATGTGACCGGACGGAATGCTGTGCTGGGTGCCTTAGGCATGGTATTTCAGTGAGATAGCACTATAAAGTCGGCATCAGATCCGTGCTATCACAAGGAGGCACGCGCACACCAACATACTCTGTCTCCTGCATACACACACGCAAGCACGCATACACCACACACACGGTGACAATTCCTTGAATGACCTTAGCTGTTAATAGGACGTTAAACACTGATCCTTTTGATGATGATTTTGTTTTTAACTAAACATGCCTTTAATGTTCACCTCCAAGGACTGGACGTTGATGACGTCAGAGGCCTTGTTTTCTGGACTGATCCCGATTTTAACGCCATTATGATGGCACGGATCACAAACTTGACCCATCATCACGTGATCGTCGATACGTTAGTGGATAACCCTGGCGACATAGCTGTGCATCCTGAAGCTGGGTAAGTCCTATGGTACCAGTAAATTCATTAAGCCCGACACAAAGTCTCTGGTATGTGAAAAAAACTATATAAAATTCCATCTTCAGTGGCATTGATTTAATTTCAGAAATATTTTTGCTACTCTTTCACTATATTTCAATGATGTGTTCCTCTTTAGCTGCACGTTTCATCTCACCTGCATTTGTAACCATGAAGCTACGTTTCTGTGTCATCATCGGAGTTTACATGGAAGTGAGTCTACCCCTACCGTTATATTTACTTCTGTACAACATTCGTGTTGACGTGTCCCTGATTACAGTCTGTTGTTCCCTGCATTCAAAATACACTTTGTGGAAATAACAATCAAAAGGGTTGAGCAAACGTTCTGTCAAATTAAAAGGCCCTTTCCCGTTAAACAGCAATTATGTTGTTTAGCATTTGATATTTCGACATTACCCAACTATAAAGCACCATTGTGCCTAATGGGTTGATCTTTTGAGCTTTTTATTTACAAATAACTTAAATTGACTCCTTCACTGTTTAACCTAAACTCCGGTATTGTTAATGAACTTATTTCATAGTATATTCTTAACTAAAGACCGTTAACTTAATATCATCGATGTTATTTGTATAAGCTTACTGAAAATGTGTGGTTTTTCTTTCTCGTTTCTAGATTATTATTTTGGACCGATTTTGGCAGACTGCCAAAAGTGGAGCGATCAACTCTGTCAGGGAGTGAACGACGAACGATAGTAATCGGAGGAACACCATATCTGTTGACACTAGACAGGGCAGGGAACAGGTGTACTGGATATGTCATTACTAATTATTACATTTATCTAATTGTCAGCGTCTGACCGACCCACTACGGTCATACAGAGCTAAGGGGCGAGAACAGTCAGTTAAATAGTACGTGTGTAAAGACAGAATCAAATAACAGTTTTGAGATGGATGCAAAATCCTCACAGTGGAAGATAGAAACCGCAAGTTTTGCATTAGTCGCGTCATACTTTCAGTACATGTACATTGGACTAGGGCAGATCTGCGTTGCATGCATATAACGGAGCATTTCATCACATAGATTGGACGAAACTACTATGTGGAATAATCGATAGCTACCCACTTGACATGTTAAACAAACCAGAAGAAAGCACAGTTCATACATGTATGATTAGCGTGCAACATAACATGGGTGTCATGTGACTCGTTAATTGCACGTGTTGGGACAGGTGAAAAAAGTCGATTAAAACCTAACCAGTGTTTCATTATGTGTTACTACGCTTTCATGTTAAAAATATCATGTTCACTCTTTAAATATTAGCAAATATGGTTTGTTTTCGCATTATTATATCTGATGAATTTGACAGGTTATTCTGGATTAACAAGGCCGATAACACTGTGGGGTCATGTGATACATCAGGAGAACGTCGTCATCCATTTCCCATCAACATTGATGGATCAACGTCGTCGTTGGCCTGGACCAGTCTCGTCGTCTATCAGGTAGGCACATATTATGTGTCTGAGTGTCAATACAATTTTGCTTGTATACATGCATGCACCTGTCCATCCTGTCAAAATTTAATATATGAATTCATGTACATGTACCTCATGTTACACATTTTCATGTGTCTGAGTGTTGGAAATAAAATCTGAAATCTGAAAATCTGAAATCTGGTAGGTAGTAACAGTCAGGGTAATTAACATAATGTATCTTTACTGCTAATATCAAATTAGAAACGTATGTATTGTTTATCCATCTCAGGAAAACAAACAAATGTCCAATAAATATAATGAAAACTATTACTTCAATTTCGTACAAGTACGATATGATATGTACGATCTCAATCAATGTAAAAAAAAATCATTTCAAAATATTGTATTAAGTCAATCAGATTTAATGGGAATTGGGCAACAGGCAAAGCCTATACAAGCCCTCTACCAGGAGGTACATCTCAAACAATAGCAATATAATGAAGTATGAATATTTACATAATGAACATGCTTTTGGAACAAAATGAATGATGATAGGAGACACCATACATATACATGTACAAACATACATACACAATGTAAAATTATAAAAAAAATGACGTTTGAACGATGTTTGAAGAACATTGTTATTTTTTCTTCGAATAGTTCGTGAGTAGTTAAGTCTTCAGAGACCAAACGCCACAAGGCAAGTCAGTGTGGCAATGGTGTAGATATTGTAGAAAAAATAGAGCATAGAGTATAGGTATAAGCAAATACATTTTACCGGTCGTTATTCCTGTTCTGGTGTTGTTTTACATCAGTGAACAGTGTGATGACGTCTTTACAAAGTCGTGGTTGCGATGGTAGCATGACACCTTTACATCAGTGAACAGTGTGATGACGTTTTGTTGTCTTTACAAAGTCGTGGTTGCGATGGTAGCATGATGCCTTTACATCAGTGAACAGTGTGATGACGTTTTGCTGTCTTTTCAAAGTCGTGGTTGCGATGGTAGCATGATACCTTTACATCAGTGAATAGTGTGATGACGTTTTGTTGTCTTTACAAAGTCGTTGTTGCGATGGTAGCATGATGCCTTTACATCAGTGAACAGTGTGATGACGATTTGCTGTCTTTACAAAGTCGTGGTTGCGATGGTAGCATGATTCCTTTACATCAGTGAACAGTGTGATGACGTTTTGTTGTCTTTACAAAGTCGTGGTTGCGATGGTAGCATGATACCTTTACATCAGGGAACAGTGTGATGACGTTTTGCTGTCTTTTCAAAGTCGTGGTTGCGATGGTAGCATGATACCTTTACATCAGTGAATAGTGTGATGACGTTTTGTTGTCTTTACAAAGTCGTTGTTGCGATGGTAGCATGATGCCTTTACATCAGTGAACAGTGTGATGACGTTTTGCTGTCTTTTCAAAGTCGTGGTTGCGATGGTAGCATGATTCCTTTACATCAGTGAACAGTGTGATGACGTTTTTCTGTCTTTACAAAGTCGTGGTTGCGATGGTAGCATGATACCTTTAAATCTATTTTTGTGTTTTCGCGGCTCATGCTTGCTGTTGTCTCCTCAGTCTCGCCAGCATTTTCTTTTAATTCAGATCGGTTTTAAATCGGTTTCTGTTGTTGCCTTTCATTTTGTGTTGATACTTCCTTCGGTCCTGTTGATGCTTTCCTTCTGTTGCGATGCACCCTTGGCTCATTTGGTGATTTTCCATTTCGTATTATCTACCCAATACATGTCCTGTTGACTTTTAAGTTTTTATATTTCCTGGTCTTGCTGTCGTTTCTATTAAACTTACCGTCTGGCGTAGGCATGTAACATCATTTTATTACAGATTAATCAAGCGTTAGTTTTGTATCGATTTGCGACCTTAGTAAGTACCAAGTCAACCATGGCAAGGTCGATACAAGCAAACAAACAATAGGAACAACGCGAACGAAAGAGATATCAAAATGATGAAAGAGCCGTCGTATGAAGAAAATAAAGAAACACCACTCTTATATTAACGTTTTCCAATTAATGAACGATTCGTTTTCATTCATTTCTGTTTTATTTTTATTTTGTTTTGTACCCGTAAGAGCCGTTTACTGCTGGCATGGAGCGACATTAACCAGGCTGGCGCGGTTTCTGTCGGACTTGGCGGAGAAAGTCGCAACAATCGGTATTTGTCAACAACATACCAAGACCTTGCCATTGTACGTGAGCAACCACAACTCCAAGGCATGGAGGCAGGTAGGATATTAAAATTACAATCATGTGCACAGACAATGAAACTTCAAAATTACATTGGCACACCGTATAAACCACCTCACGAAAATAACTTTCTAACGTTTTAAGTTGGTAACTGCAATTTTCATTCTGATTATACTTTTACATTGGTATATCGGTAATAGGAAATCTATTATTACATTCCTCAGAGACAGCATTACACCAATACACTAATTCATTTATTAATATTTTATCACTGGTGACATGTACGATACAAATTTGCATACTTAAATTAGAATTACAGCATACAGCAGATGCAGGTTACAAATTTACGGGTTATAGTTGGCAATACAGCATACAGATGTATGTTATGAATACATAAACACAGCAAATATATACGTGTTGTAATTGAAACTACAACATAACATGCACATGCATATAATACTTAGAATTACGACAAAATACAATTACGTTATATAACTGGAGTTATTGTGTATAAAAGTATTTGTTACAATTAAAGTCAATTTGTTAATCATTTGCCAATAACTATTTCTTGTTGATAATGTAAATGAATGCAAATCCTCTCTTCAGAATGTGTGGACTGTTTTTGTCGGCTTTACTCTGTGTACGAGAATGGGACACTCACCAGGCAGTGTGGTAGGTACTGTGTGATGTAGATGTAAATATAAACTTTTATAAGCGCAGTCAAAATTTAGCATCGTATCCTGTTAGATTGGATAACCTGTCAGTACCATTTGTTATCGCTAGTTTTCATTCTTTGATACTTTTTTGTTCATAATATTGGAAGTAAAGTCTACAAAAACGTATAAAACAACAAGAACTAATCTAGTGTCCCAGTCATGTTCTCGACATTTTTTGACGGAGTTACATACTTAGTGCTTCAAATGATTAAAAAAAACCAAAAAGTTTCCGATTCGACACTCATTTCGATCTGGTTTAATATTGTGATTTAGAGATAATAGGTCTACATACGAACAGTGCTTGTTTACCCAAGGTCAATAGCATTGTTGTTATTGCAACACTGCTGACGTAATAGTAGAAACATACAATGTACGTTAAGCATGTCAACGTTGATGTTTTATTGTGTTACAGCATCTGAACATAGTTCCCATGGTTATCTGTTCTTCACGACGCCGAGAGGATTATATCGTATGGACGTGTATCCCTTTACAACGTCATATGCTCCTCACGTGACCCTAGTTTACGGCGCCAATATCTCCGTGTTTACAACTGACCCTGTAAACGAGAAGATATTCGCATACAGCCATGATAGCAAGGTAATTGCATGAATGATGACGTCACCGTTTGATAACTGTATACGATATAATAAATAAAGAATTTTGACAGGTCCGTTCCGTGTTAATTCTAAAAAATGGGACACATTTATATGTTTGACGATTTAAAGACTTTTATCTGACGTTTGCTTGATGAAATTATAGTTATATTTTCATTCTTTTTCTTTAAAATACATTGTATTCCATACAAAAATGAAGTATCCTGTCCATATATTAAATGTTTTTAAAGGTTTAGTATACAAAAAAATCATTTGTATCACTGTTTGTATCCCGGCATATGTATATCGTGGCTCATCAGATAATCTTTATTTTAGAAAAAGTTGCATTTAGAAATAAAATCAAAGTTAATTAATTCGAGTTTAATAAATGTGATTAAGAACGAACTATCAATTTGAAAATTATATCTCTTACACTTTCTTGAACTTCATCAGAAGAATTTATTGATGCAAAATGGTTTTGATACGCATTCAGTTTTCTTCCATCAGGCCATAATAGAGATTACCCAGCATGCTGTGACAGGATACTGGATGTCACGTGACCTTATAATAGTGGCAGCACCAGTTAAAAGTAAGGTTTGTTAAAATTTATTCAAAACAAATGAATAACTGGGAATGTCGCTTTTGTTGGAATAAATGTCGTTTGCGCATGTCAGCATTAATGACATCATAATAGTAATTAGGTCAACTGTATTGTGGGGGTATTAATGTTGACTTGCGAAGGTTGGTTTTTCTTACTTACGCAAAACTTACAGCCAAAGTGAAAATGCATTAAAGTAATAATCATCAGTTGTATTGTTCTTGAATATGAACCAAGGGTGAGCAAATGTTGGAAAAATAGGTAACAAGTAACGGCGGCGTACATACATTTACCTAAATGTGCTGTCGACTTTACTTGAGTGTCTATCTAGACAACGTGGTCGAGATTATCAAATTATTTGAATGGGGTCATTATCTTGCACATGTAAACATTTGTCACGTGGTGTATCTTTTTATTTAGCCAGTAAGTCAAAAAGGTGTTCTAATCGCCAGTATAGACATGAAAAACAACATACTATAGTATCCCCATCCGTAACAATTATACTACGCTAATATTGTATGTTTAGAATCATTGTAATTCCTTGTTGAACATACGCAGCTAAGTACTGTGTGAACTGTGCTGCATGTCATTCTGCAGCGGACTGACGAATCAGAAAGAAGCTTTCAAAAGTCGGTCATTTGGCCCCGCCCATACTGGCGAGAGCTCGATCTGTATGTTCGTGAACGTCCTGTTACCAAAATTTATATGACCCATTAAGTCATTTGGATAGATATTGACCAATTTCTTTCATTTCCATGTCTGTTACCAAAATTTATACGACCCATTAAGTCATTTGGATAGATATTGACCAAATTCTTACATTTCCATGTCAGTATGCATGTAAATCTGTGCCTATCGACAAAATCGATGATTAATAGTTTAGATTTATGAAGAGTTTTGTGTAAATATTCATACGACACATGTGGAATGTTTCATTTGATTTCGGATCTAACTAGATGCCTTCAAATGGATGGGAAAACGTTTCAGTAATAAATGGAGGTAAGAACAAGGAATGTGTACTTTTTACTTTTTAATTCATTTAACAAATACATTTCATCGGTCGTTTCTGTTCTTTTTCCTGCTAGCCTTATCAGCGGGATTCCGCTAAGAGGAGAGCGTGACGCAATATTGTTTTGGTCAGAAACGGGGCGTGGCTTAAGTGCGATGGGAGGAGCTTAACACGATTGCTCATGATTCTATCGCAGATTAGAACATGATCCATATCCAATCAAAACAAGCGTTGCAAACAAATCGTGTTAGAATGTCCAATAATACACAGGCAATTACCAAAAAAGTATTGTTACGTCACTGACGTGGTAGAATTACATATAGTCTGCTTTCTGTGATAATAACGCTTCATTTCGGTTCTTGTCGAACTCTAAGAACAGATTAGCAGATTGATTACATGTCCCTTCCCGGGATCTGCATATATTTAACTATTTTGTTGGTGTTGGTTAGACTATTTATTTTTTATTAGTCGGTATTTTATTAATTGTCATACATTTTCGTTTATTTTTATCATCTTCCATCCGTTACCAGGCATTGCAGTAGATTGGATGTCCCGGAATATCCTATGGGTTGAACAAGGATCCGAATATATTTCTGTTGCTAATTATGAAGGACTGTACCGGAAGTGGTTGATATCACAAGCTTGGGCTGAAGATCTGAGAGTTGATCCACACAACAGGTAAACCTATAACCAAGTAATCGATTAATTGATTTAACGTAAACATCAAAATTATCATTGATATTGATATCACATTGTTTATTTAATTTTTCACTCGGTGCAAGTACAATTCGTCAGCTTTATAGTGGATTTGGTTTGGTTTAGTTATATTTTTAACGTCCTATTAACAGCTAAGATCATTTAAGGACGGGCACCCATGTGTATTGTATATGCACGCATGCGCGTGTGTGTGCAGGAGACAGGGTATGTTGGAGTGCTTGCCTCCTTGTGATATCGCGGATCTGATGCCGACTGCAGGGAAAGAACAACTACTATTTTTACGACTTTGGTATGTCCCGGCCAGGAAACAAAACCCCATTGCCTTCCTCACCTGGGTGAACATTCGACATTGAATCCAAAAGTGAGGTATTGCCAAGCAAGGCGCTAGGAAATAAAAGGTAGATAGAAGTAGAAAGAAAGATAAAGATCCCAAATGTTGCAATGGATGCGGCAGATTTATTTTGGTCGCTTTGGTATTAGAGGGCACAAAAGCAAATCCCCAATTCTGCAGGGGTTCATTTGAACTCCTCCAATTCAAAGGATGGAATATTTCATTATGAAATTTAAGGGTTGAATGAGTTAATTGAAAATTATAATCTCAATTACGTGGCTAAACCATCGTATGTGTTTCAGGATGGTATTCTGGCTCAACTCCTCCCTGGGTTTGGTAGAGGGAGCTGATCTGGACGGGCGAGGACATGTAAACATAGGATATACCGATAAACAGTTTGCAGCTCTTACTATCGACTGCGCAGGTCACCGACTCATCATGTTCGACTTCCGGTCCAGAGAACTCGTGGCTATAGACTATCTATCTAGAGCACCTCCGGAAGTCATCAGACAGGGGTTTTGGCGAGTAACGTTCATGGCTATGATAAAGGTAGGTAACTCTTTCTATGTTTCAAGAAAAAGAATTCATGCAAACTTAAACATTCCCATACAAATGTAGATGAAATTAACTCTTTATTAACGTGTAGGTGACTTCAGAAGATAATCAACATATTTGATAAATTAAAATCCAAGTATTACAGTATGATAGATGTATTGCTTATTAGTGTGCCTGGTTGTTTTATTGTTAGTTCCCCAGTCTTCATTATGAGGACGTGGTTTTACTTAGTTTTGCAGAAGAGTCTTACCGTTCCGGAACCCATGGTCCTCTTCTCCTTGTACTTTTTCAAGCATATCCATATAAATCAGAATTTTCTTTGTTTTTATTTTGCCCTGGTTTTATGGATTTGGAATTCGAATTCCTCCTTTTATAGAGTACAGACGATTTGCCCAGAGTCCTACCCTGCAACCCTAGTTTTTGATATGGAAGTTGCGATCCCCACCCTATAATCGTTAAACTTTATAACTTGCATACAACTGCATTGCATGATAAGACATCGGTACTAACTCCCTGGTTTATAATACGGAAAGAGTTGAAATTCCCACACTTAACCTGTATGTACAATTGCTAAGCATTAAGAGACAAGGCACTCATAGCCAGTCCAAACCCTGTAAACAGTCGAAATCCTTCCCCATCATCATATATACAAATATTCCAATAATATAACGGCAATGTCATTTCATTTTCTAATTGATATGCAACTAAACGTAAATCATTATTAGCGTTACCTTTTATAACAACAACGGATGGCTTGATTTAGAGCAAGACAAGTGAAATGTTAAGATTTGAAAATATCAGTAATGCAGAACACTAGGAAAAAAAGACGATAGTTATATCAGTACGTTCACAAATTATTTGAAGTTAAAACAGAATTGTCACATTTACGTGAACATATTTATTTTGTGTAAGGATTATGTGGTCGTAAGCAACGACTCAAGGTGCCTGACGTTAGTGAACACTAAAACAGGGCTCCCTCTAGCGGCAAGATACATAGCCGATGACATCATCACCCATATGGAGCTATACCATGTCGACAGTGTCATGAACACAAGTAAGTCCAATTGAGGTCCATGTAACCCGAATTATGTTTAGGAAAAGTCACAATCATATCTTTAAAACCTATGCGATGTGGGTACATTCTAAAGGAGATTATTAAATATACACTGGATTTAGACCTCGTTATACTGCCATTATTTATCCAGATACATTTGGCGTTATAAAGAGGTTTAATTACAAATCATTGAAAAAGTGAAAAAGAGACAGACATTGAAATGTGTTGGCGGAAAGCGAGGTTATAATTGAAGCGGGGGATAGATTAAACAGTAAACTGTAGCATGTGCACATATTAAATACGAGTCGAAAACCAGGCAATTTCCAATACTATTGTGAGAAATCGTTTATACTGTTAGTTAGCTGATATTGAAGAGCACTGCGTCCGTTGAGATTCGGCGACGAAAGCCAGTACTGCATTAGAGGTTCTGTGGAACAGTTATCTGTACTGTTCTGGCGGTGAAACCCGACAGGTCCCGAATCCAACTTCCGGTATCGGGGATTATCTGAACGTATTTATAGATGCAGGCATAATGTCCGGATAACTTCAATATCATACATGCTTAACATTTTTCCGATAGAAATTTCGTTCGTCTGTTACAAATTTATAATCAAATATTATTGAAGTAAAGTTGAACATTTTATAACGTGCTTTGATATCTCGCATGCATAGTTCATGCGCTTCGTTTATCTCAAAGTCTTTGGTAATGTGGTAGTCCATTCCTTAGTTATTTAACATAGTAATTGTTTTACTCTTAGCTTTTTCGTAAGCAACACGATGTCAATTATATCTCACAATACAACATTATATGTTCATACTTAGGTCCCTGCGTGGAAAACAATGGCGGATGTGACCAGCTATGTCTGCCCAATCCGTCCACAAGGAATTGTAACTGTGGCTTTGGTTACCATGAGGTCTCCACCGATAACGGGTGTTCTACATGTAAGTATCAACTGTCCATATATATACTTTATACTGTTAGTCACTTATTATCGCGAGAGATTATTTTTAGCGTTTATTCACACATTCGTGAATTTAATCATTTTGCAAATACAATTTCCAGAAGTAATTACGCTAGTGTCATACCAATATAAAAAACATCTCCGTCACGTTGGGCCTTTAAATGGTGTTTGTACTCTATGTTTAGGAAAAGAACGGTTTAATCTTGTTTAGCGTTCTATTAACAGCAAAGGTCATTTGAGGACGTGCCTCCATATGTTTTGTGTATGTGTGCTTGCGTGTGTGTATGCAGGAAACAGAATATGTTGGTGTGCTTGCCTCCTGGTAATAGCGCAGATCTGATGCCGACTTCATAGTTCTATCTCACTGAAATGCCATGCCGAAGACACCCAGAACAGCATTCCGCCCGGTCAACTTATACTGACAACGTGGAACTAGTTTTGCCATTACCCTAAATGCTGAACGTTAAGCAGTGATTAAGCAAGGGAAAACTTCTTTTTTTACCAAGTCATTTTATGGAATTTGGTATGTCCCGACCTGTAGACAGAACCTATTGCCTTCCTCACCTGGGCGAACGCTCAACATTCAGGCCAAAAGTGAGGTGTTGCCTAGCAAGGCACTAGAAAATAAAAGGTAGTTTGAAGTAGAAAGAAAGATAAATATTCCAAATATATCAATGGGCGCCTCCTACGATACATGCAGTTGGTAACAGCAGGTGAATTCTTTTACCGATCCCCCACCTGCAGGGATGAAAAGAACAGACATAATGCCGAGGTTGAACTGTATACATGTACAGTATGTATAGTGACATTTGAGGTGCATGATACCGTGGTTGACTATACAGAGTAAAACGAGGGACATGTCATCGAACTTTTGCTGTACCCTTACTTCCTCTTCTTTAGATCTGATGGACAACTCGTTCCTACTTGTGGTTGACCAGCGTGCTCCGGCCATTTATCAGTATAATCAGGATCGCCAGGGACATCCGGTCGATCGTTATACTATAGTTCCGGCCGTCGGTCTGGCCCAGCCATACGCTGTGACCTACGACGCCAGAGCTCAATACGTAAGTATTCATTACTTAGACCTTCTTTGATTGGCTACGGGCATGCGATTGCTACTTGTAAAAGCATATACCATTAGTTAAACATGAGATAAAAGTGCTTCCCGGGAGATGTGGTATTTTGTCTCCTGATCAAACGATTCAGGCACAATACACACTGTAATACAGATAAGGTATCAACAACATATATATCGCATCAAGCATGTTTCTCGCCTTTTCAGTAAGTGTGAAGCTCAGTAAAATACTTTGAATTCATTTTTTATGAAAATATGTAACGTGCAGGCGGTCATCCATCCAACTACTGACCACACTCGACGTTGCTTATATAGTGAGCGGGTCCACGGATTATACAGGGTCACTAGTACTGGAAAAGCTAGCTTATCAGTAAAGGCAGTATTTTACCCTCATATTCCTTAGCTGTTACACCTTTCCCTCCCCCGAGTAGCATCGTCCCGAGACTTGGCCTGGGGAATGCCATAGGTCCTCCCTGTGTACTAATGCACCATCCCTTACCACCGGGAACCGTCCTTACATAATCCCACCGCTGCCACCAAATGTAACGTACGGGCGGTCACCAATCCAACTACTGACCACGCTCGACGTTGCTGAACTAGTCAGCAGGTCCACGGGTTATACCGCATAGCTGGAAAAGCTAGCTTGCCAGTAAGGTAGATTTCACTCAGCATATTTCTTATTTGTTACAAAACTTACCCCTGAAGCGTCACAAATAGCAGCCAAAACGTGAGTCCGTGAGTCTGTAACAAAAGTTAGTACACTGGTATAACGATATGATTTGAGTTACATTGTTTGTTGTGATTATTTTGATAGATTTATTGGTCTGATATTGAGCAGTTCAGCGTCAGTCGGATACACAGTAGTGGACAATACCAGGAAATAGTGTACGGACAGGAATATATGTGTAAGTATTGATCATATTATGGATTTTATGTGAGTTTGATTAAATGTTGAATGTACCCGATTGAGTGATGTATGCTTATACCGATACCTTAGTGTATATTCATTTTTATCAAATAAACGATGTACTTCACCATTTGAGGATCCCTGTCTCGCTGCACTGTGTGTTTCCTATATACAGTTACCTCCCCTTAATTTCCGTTTGGATATAACTTTATCGCAGTTGTTCTAGGATACTTCTGATGACGAGAACTCAATTGGATAGAGCAATGGTATAATAGTTAAAGTCCAGGGTTCGAATCATGGCCTAGCCCTGCTGGTTTGTAACACTCAGAACATTGCTGTTGACTAGATGTTGTTTATTTCATCTTTATTATTTCTCCTAAAGTTTCCACAAGGTAGTGGGTTTTTTAAGAAATGATATGTCAAAGCAATAATGATTTCAAATACACATATTCCAGTACTTAGTAACAGTGTTTGACAGTGGTACGGGGATCCCTAATACATACGTAAGTCTGATGACCTGCAGTTTGTCTCCAGAAACCAAGGTCCGAACCCCTTAAAAGGACTCACGTTTGAGAGTGTCATTATAAAAAACAGCATTTTTTCTTTACAGATGCTCTAGACATTACTTTGAGTGTATCCATGCGCTTGTTGTTTATTGCTGATTATTCCCGGAACCGGATCATAGCTCTTAATGTGAACACTCTACAAACAACAACCTTCTCCGACCCGGTTAATCGTGTTTACGGTCTCAGTCTGGATGCCAGCAACAGGTATGATTACGTCATCAAAATCCCATCTGTTTCGCTAACTTAAGTTTTCTACACCACGGGGACCTGCTAATTTGTTACAGCTATATTGGGACCTAAACTGTTTGTGTTGGTGTTTAGAGTAATTTTACGACTTTCGGTGAAAATGCCACCTAAATGGCCAAAGGGTGATGTAAACCCCAGAACCATGTAAAATTACTCTAAGCACCTTAGTTTAGGTCCATATATAACTGTAACAAATTATCAGGTCTCTGTGCTCTTTACCCCCTGGTATATACATGTAAGTTATTTCACTGTAATCAGGTATAAGAGCAGACCGATCGTTACGCTGACATTTGTCCTTTGGATATAACAGAGGAGCGACAACCGACTTTCTGCCAGTCAGGTTGACTTTTTTTGCTGTCGTGCAATTCTTTTGATGTATAGGAAATTAGGAGTAGAAGCATTAGATGATTCGAATAGACGAATAGTCTAAGACCAGCGGGCTATAGCTAAATGTCAAGCCCGTTCGAGGAAATAATCAAAACAGTTATACTGCAATAATAGTGCAGTTAAGGGGGGATGCGTTGGTGGAGAGGTCAAGGCGTCTAACCGTTTGAGATCACTGGCCCTCCTCCAATGGGTCGCGGGTTCGAGAGGCCTACGTGAGGCAGTCGCAAGGTTCTGGCCGCAGGTCAGTGGTTTTCCTCCATCACAAAAACATGGCTTGTCATTCGTCGTATAACAAAACCAAAACAGAGGTCAGTTATGTATAGGCAATACCGGCAGATTGTATATGGCGTTAACCCAGGTGTTTTTTTCTGAATAATACTAACATCAAATGATTGCATAATGATATGGTTACTTACTATTTCATAGAATATCAATTTATCTTTCGTTACCTGTCGCATACCACATATTTACGTTCTTTTTGTGTTTTATTTGTTTACATGTACCTGTAGTGTTATCAAATATTAGTCATTCATAAGGCCAAGTGTTTGTTAGAAATATGAGAGGCATTACTTGAGTTTTGCAAATCGTTCCCGTTCACGTTCATTTTTTTTAGATATTTGTACGCATCCGGGTATGGAGAATCTCCTAACTTGGTGCGCATTGATATATGGACAGGGACCCAGTCGACAGAAAACCTGCCGTGGTTGGTGTTACCAGGGAAACTCGTTGTCCATGCCACAGGTAATCTTGAGCCTAATATTAGGTAACACATCATATGAAAAATGTCCCACATGATATACATAGTCAGACAATTAAATAAAACAATCTTGTAACAATGGCATTTTTACTCGGAAGTGTGTTTCAGTGTATTTTAGAATTTAACAGATTAACGCTTTGACGAATTAGCGCACTTATGATAATACACATATATTCAATAGAAAACTATAAACCGGATCTTAAATTAGCGGAGTATAAACCGGATCTTAAATTAGCGGAGTCGTAGTTTAGTGTAACATTTATAGCACAAAATGCGCTAAAATGAGTACATCGCTAAATTTGTATGTTTACAGTATATGGTTAATTTAGAATTGCATGATTTAGCAGCCATACATTTATCAGCACGATAATATAATGACAGTGTCTTATAATCCTGGTAGGTATATACCTGGTTGAGCAGCATCTACGAACCATCGTCCGGATTGATAGTAGCGGTAACGTTCACGACTTTAAACATTTCCCAGAAGGTCACATAGTGCAGTTCATCACAGCAGACGATAACAACATTTATTGGACAGAACAGAATACACAACAGTTATACAGGTAAAACAATACATCTTCTTATAGTGCTTCATCCATCTTTCTTATGCAATTTTGGGGATATGAGAGAAGCCTATAATCAACCTTGCAATTAAGTCTTTTTTATTACTTTACCATTTTTTACTTTCCTGGTATGTGCACGTAAATGTTCTCAAAAATAAGGAGAAATTTAACTTAAAAGAACATTTTATAGGAGTTACAATTTTTTCTTTAGATGAGAATTGCTGAAAGCCGACATTGTGAGTTAAGTAGCATAAAATACTGTAGAAGGCTTTAAAAATGTTCCAATCATTAATGTAAAATCATTTGTTTTCCCGGGGAACTTTTTTCATTGATTTCGTAGATACTTTGATACACATATGCAAATGTTTGAATGATATCTGTTGCCAAGTCATCCTTGATACTCCACAGGTTACACCCCCTTATGCTTTCGTTACCCCAGGAATATGTCATAGCAAAAGTGAAGGCTTAGTGTGCACCAGCTTTTGGATGAGATGAAAAGACTAGTTTGATCCTTTGATGAACATTAAAAGAATATCTCTGTCGCTTACGCTAAAATTGACTGGCTCTGGAGTCCGATGTCGCTCCTCTGTAATTTTCAAACGAAAGGTATCAGCCTACCTGAGATCAATCAAAAAGCTAGCCGCGTGCCTTCAATTTTGGTATATTCCAGGGGAGCAAAGAGCGAAAGTGAGCGGAACCCCTGAAGTATCAGGATGTTGCTAAGTACAAGCGGTAACATTATAGGAACAGCCGTCTACTTTCGTTAAGCTCTGCATCAATAGATTTATCGATCGATCAATCAATTATCCTCGGTATTTTCAGATTAAATCTGCAAACGAGGGAAGAATCAACAGTAGGATTAGAGGGAACGTTGATACACCCTACCGGACTCCTGTCGTTTGAAGTGGCTCGTACATACACAGGTACACTATAACACTTTTAACTAGAGGGTCATAAGGCATGGAAAGAAATTATTTGCTTAAGATATTTTTGAAGAATTGGCAACATTATTTATTTCATTATTATCATAATGCTGCCCATTGCATTATTGATGTCGTTATGTAATTGTTAATGGAAAAGGACGATTTTAAGTTGTAATTACTTGTGTCCAATTCCTTTTAAATTGTTAAAATAAAATATTTAATATTTTTAAACTAAATAAGATATCACTCTGAGTATTGTCCATTCAGAACGGTCAGATTAAGCGACAACAGAACAAGTGGCGGTTTTGTTGCACCTTTACAACGTACATCATGACATTCACATAACTACACAGTTGATACCATTTCTGTTTGGTAGACATACCAATTAATAGCAACAAATGTCGTAATTGCGTTGAGAAATATCGCTCTGCTTTGTTGTCAAAGGTGAGGTTATTAGGACCTAGCGTCAAGTATCACGCTACGAATTCCCACACTATTTTTGATATAGTTATATTTGCGTCACGTTACTTTAAAAACAATAAATAAATAGAATATCGATTTTTCCCCCATTCATAGTATGACAGAATATACCTATACATGTTTATGGTATTCTTCGGGAAACTATTAAATACCCTCTATAGGTCTATAGAATAAAATCAAGAGCATAGGAGAATAAGCTAACAGGATAAATATTAACAAAAATGCAATGCAACAAAACAAAACAAAACTGATGTTGAAAACGGAACGGCAATAGTGATACATTTGAGGAACAACATATTATAAACGATAAAATTGATGTTCCGTTACAAAACATTTTCGAAGAAAAATAATTCAAGGTTGCAGGATCTGTTGTTAAGAGACAGTCAGTTGCCATATGTCGGGTAGTGATTTCATCAAAGTATTTGGTGTCCAGCAGCTTTGTTGCATTTTCATGTTTTTGTTGTTTGTGATGAATTAAGTATTTTTCTGATATTATAGTAGTTCTTTTGTTGTTATGAATTGAATATTGCAAAAAAAAAAACATGATCTACGATAAAGGTGGTATCCTTTTGTATTGTGACAAGCTTCAACATTTAGTCTCAGCGGATGAAAGCTGAACTGGTGTCATGTGATTACATGTACATTAATTTGCCACAGGATGATTCTATTTTCAAATTGGTTAAGTAGTACATCTGTATTTATCTATGTGTACAACTGATATATTAAAAACCAACAGTCACCTTTTAATGTGCCACCAAAACAATATAAATGATCTTAATAGTAGCCTAGCAAGTGATTTGCTTTTACTAAAATGCCTCCTAATGTTTGGTTTCAGTCTTCCGTTAAATGCTAACGGTGACATATTTAGTAGTTGATCCTTCACGTATGAAAGTGACATTCGTCATCAGTAATATGGTAAAATATCAGTACCTTTCTACTCGGCAAGCGATTTCTGAAACTGAGGGTTACCTGAAAATTGCGTCATTTTATTATATAATATTATGACGACATTTTGTAACTTTTAATCGAAAGCTTTATTGGTTTTGTGCATGGTGTTATATTGCTATCATTTTTGTCTTTTCGACACAAAGTAGCGGAGCCGAGACTTAAGGTGGCTCCACACTTTCGCAATTAACCAGCAAAATTCGTTGAAATTTTCATATAATGGTTATGCAACTATGTAGAGTTAATTTTATGAAAATCTAAACATTCCGATAGTTTGGGGAATTTTTTGGAAAAAATACCAAAAAATTGAATTTTCGCCACTTTTAATATTTTCCGTTTTTTTTTTTGTGTGGCATTGTTCGGAACAATAAAAACAATAAAAAAATGAAAAGAAGCATTTATAATTAATCCTACAAATATTTTATTTATCGCAAAATATGTAACACATGTTACACAAAGTGTTTTTTATTGAATTTGAACGGATAAAAGTGATTATCTACAAGCTAAAAGCAAACAGGACACACAGATCTATACATATAGAGTGGGAAATTGAACAAAATATACACAATGGCTTTATAATTAATTTATTTTACATTTTACAATCACTTTGATCCGGGTGAGAGTTATCTTCCTTGAAAAAAATCGGAACTTTTTGCAGAGGGATGACATTTACACAATGACAGTTGTCTCTGTTTACATATAACAAATGATGGAAATAAATCAAAAATATGATATCAAAATTATCAATTTATTGTTCTTTAATGGAACCAAATTACCCTCAGTCATGTACACTTTGGACATCATTCCACAGTCCGCTAACTCACGGTATATTTATAATTACATGTCAGGTACATATGTGACCAGAGGCTATCGCATGGTATGCCGTTCTCACGTGCCCTCACACATGCATTTCATAGGTATCTTGATATTTTACAAAACATTATTTTCACAGAGTAAGTAGACTACATTTGTAAACACGATTTAATCGACAGAGCGAAACTCCCTCAGCTTATGAACTCGTGTAAGCACGTGATATGCACATATGAGGTTGGTACGT